TACTGGCGTGTCTATCTCTACACAGTCAGATTACTGGTGTGTCTATCTCTACACAGATTACTGGCGTGTCTATCTTTACACAGTCAGATTACTGGTGTGTCTGTCTCTACACAGTCAGATTACTGGTGTGTCTGTCTCTACACAGTCAGATTACTGGTGTGTCTGTCTCTACACAGTCAGATTACTGGTGTGTCTATCTCTACACAGATTACTGGCGTGTCTATCTTTACACAGTCAGATTACTGGTGTGTCTGTCTCTACACAGTCAGATTACTGGTGTGTCTGTCTCTACACAGATTACTGGCATGTCTGTCTCTACAAAGATTACTGGCGTGTCTATCTCTACACAGTCAGATTACTGGTGTGTCTGTCTCTACACAGTCAGATTACTGGTGTGTCTGTCTCTACACAGTCAGATTACTGGTGTGACTGTCTCTACACAGTCAGATTACTGGCATGCCTATCTCTACACAGTCAGATTACTGGCGTGTCTGTCTCTACATTGTCAAATTACTGGCGTGTCTGTCTCTACACAGATTACTGTTGTGTGTGTCTCTACACAGTCGGATTACTGGCGTGTCTATCACTACATAGTCAGATTACTGGCGTGTCTGTCTCTAAACAGTCAGATTACTGGCGCGTCTATCTCTACACAGTCAGATTACTGGCATGTCTGTCTCTACACAGTCAGATTACTGGCGTGTCTGTCTCTACACAGTCTGATTACTGGCCTGTCTGTCTCTACACAGTCAGATTACTTGCGTGTCTGTGTCTACACAGTCAGATTACTGGCGTGTCTGTCTCTACACAGTCAGATTACTGGCGTTTCTGTCTCTACACAGTCAGATTACTGTTGTGTCTGTCTCTACACAGTCAGATTACTGGTGTGTCTATCTCTACACAGATTACTGGCGTGTCTATCTTTACACAGTCAGATTACTGGTATGTCTGTCTCTACACAGTCAGATTACTGGTGTGTCTGTCTCTACACAGATTACTGGCGTGTCTGTCTCTACAAAGATTACTGGCGTGTCTGTCTCTAAACAGTCAGATAACTGGCGTGTCTATGTCTGCACAGTCAGATTACTGGCATGTCTGTCTCTACACAGTCAGATTACTGGCGTGTCTGTCTCTACACAGTCTGATTACTGGCCTGTCTGTCTCTACACAGTCAGATTACTGGCGTGTCTGTGTCTACACAGTCAGATTACTGGCGTGTCTGTCTCTACACAGTCAGATTACTGGCGTGTCTGTCTCTACACAGTCAGATTACTGGCGTGTCTGTCTCTACACAGTCAGATTACTGGTGTGTCTATCTCTACACAGATTACTGGTGTGTCTATCTTTACACAGTCAGATTACTGGTGTGTCTATCTCTACACAGTCAGATTACTGGTGTGTCTGTCTCTACACAGATTACTGGCGTGTCTGTCTCTACAAAGATTACTGGCGTGTCTATCTCTACACAGTCAGATTACTGGTGTGTCTGTCTCTACACAGTCAGATTACTGGTGTGTCTGTCTCTACACAGTCAGATTACTGGTGTGACTGTCTCTACACAGTCAGATTACTGGCATGCCTATCTCTACACAGTCAGATTACTGGCGTGTCTGTCTCTACATAGTCAAATTAATGGCGTGTCTGTCTCTACACAGATTACTGTTGTGTGTGTCTCTACACAGTTGGATTACTGGCGTGTCTATCTCTACACAGTCAGATTACTGGTGTCTCTGTCTGTTTCCATATGCCCTGTAATCTCTGTCTTCATAGCCAGTTTGTTAGTGTATCTGTTGCAATCTCTGAAGTCAGTGTACTGATATATCTTTCTTGATACAATCAAATGTATGGTGCCTAGACAGTTAAATTAATGTTGTGTCTGTATCCATACAATCATTTTACTAAGTCAATTCATTGATGTACAGTTTTTAATTCACTGTTGTCTCTCTGTCTCCATACAGGTTTTTATTCACTGTTGTCTCTCTCTGTCTCCATACAGTTTTTAATTCACTGTTGTCTCTCTCTGTCTCCATACAGGTTTTAATTCACTGTTGTCTCTCTCTGTCTCCATACAGGTTTTAATTTACTGTTGTCTCTCTCTGTCTCCATACAGGTTTTAATTCACTGTTGTCTCTCTCTGTCTCCATACAGGTTTTAATTTACTGTTGTCTCTCTCTGTCTCCATACAGTTTTTAATTCACTGTTGTCTCTCTCTGTCTCCATACAGGTTTTACTTCACTGTTGTCTATCTCTGTCTCCATACAGGTTTTAATTCACTGTTGTCTCTTTCTGTCTCCATACAGGTTTTAATTCACTATTGTCTCTATCTGTCTGCATACAGGTTTTAATTCACTGTTGTCTCTTTCTGTCTCCATACAGGTTTTAATTTACTGTTGTCTGTCTCTGTCTCCATACAGGTTTTAATTCACTATTGTCTCTATCTGTCTGCATACAGGTTTTAATTTACTGTTGTCTCTCTCTCTGTCTCCAAGTAGTTTTTGATTTACTGTTGTCTCTCTCTGTCTCCATGTAGTTTTTAATTTACTGTTGTCTCTCTCTGTCTCCATACAGGTTTTAATTTACTGTTGTCTCTCTCTGTCTCCATACAGGTTTTAATTTACTGTTGTCTCTCTCTGTCTCCATACAGGTTTTAATTCACTGTTGTCTCTCTCTGTCTCCATACATCTTTTAATTCACTATTGTCTCTATCTGTCTGCATACAGGTTTTAATTTACTGTTGTCTCTCTCTGTCTCCAAGTAGTTTTTGATTTACTGTTGTCTCTCTCTGTCTCCATGTAGTTTTTAATTTACTGTTGTCTCTCTCTGTCTCCATACAGGTTTTAATTTACTGTTGTCTCTCTCTGTCTCCATACAGGTTTTAATTTACTGTTGTCTCTCTCTGTCTCCATACAGGTTTTAATTTACTGTTGTCTCTCTCTGTCTCCATACAGGTTTTAATTTACTGTTGTCTATCTCTGTCTCCATACAGGTTTTAATTTACTGTTGTCTCTCTCTGTCTCCATACAGGTTTTAATTTACTGTTGTCTCTCTCTGTCTCCATACAGGTTTTAATTCACTGTTGTCTCTCTCTGTCTCCATACAGGTTTTAATTCACTGTTGTCTCTCTGTTTCTGTAACTGAATTAATGTGATGTAATTGAAGATGTGAAAACGATTAGAAATTTTACCTGCATTTTCTTTTGATAGTGCGAAATTTTCCAGATTCATTAAAAAAATGTTTCTTCATTTCAGTTTTGAAAGTGATATAGATACCATATTTATATTGAGTAATTTCTCTGTTAATGTTATGCTGTACTAGGTTGTCTTGGTGTGTCCACTGTGCTGATGACTGAGGGTTGTTGTTAAGTTCCAATGATGGTGAAATGCATTGTTTGATAGGCTTGTTGTTACCACTCATTGTGCTCCATGTCTGATTATCAGTCTATTGTTATGGTTCCTCTGAGCACTAACTGCAGAACACTCCAGTATCAGGTTATATTTTCCTTCTAAAAACTGTGTCAGCTCTGATGTTTACTCCACGGAGACTTGAGAGTTTTATGATGCTCACAAAGTCATCAATTTTGTTCTGCAAGTTTCCTGAAGCCATTTCCATCACTTACTGGAATTAAGGTTGTGAATATTGGAAATCTGGTCCAGCAATCCTGCTGCCTAGCTTGGTATTAATTTTAGAATTTTGACAGGACAATTAAAGGGGAAATCAGAAGCTGATGAGAAGTATGAACACTTAGTATGCCAAACATTTCGATGTAATTCTGACTTACAATTGTCTGGATTTAGTGACTCATTTTACACTTGGAATTTGCTTTATCAAATAATGTAATTGTATTTTTATATGTATATTATGTAATAAATGGTTGTTACCACAAACACAGCTTTGATACTAGTCTTAGCATCCTTTTCTACTTGGAAAGTCAATATTATGTGCTTTGAAATTCCAAGTCAATGCTATATCAGAGTCAAGGTCAAACACATTTAACGTTGAATTGCTAAAATGCTTGCAGCATAAGATTTAATCGCATACTGCATTGCTCATAAAAGGAAAGAGAGAGAGAGGGGGAGGGGGGGGGGGAGCAGTTCTGCATTTCATAAATTTTAACCAAAGACAGAAAATAAGGTGTCAAATACTTTAAATAAGTGAGGTTGAGATCTGGAGATTTTTGACAGATCTCATATTCAGTACATGTAGGTAACAGCCTTCAGACATTATCTTCAGGCGAAGGAACACAGGAATTACTAAAGTGCTGTAGAACAACTCTACCATTACATTTCTATCAGAAACTGTAAATTTCATTTGAAAAAAGTACACTTTTTTCTCTAGATCTTTTTAGAATATGGATGGAATATGGTTATGTGCTTGCTAATAGCGTTTTATATATAAATGTGTTATTGTAAATAACAGGAAAAAAACTAGCATTGTTAGCAGTTTGTATCACAATTAATATGTCTTTTTATTATGATGTTCATACTATCATTATTATGTTTAAGCCACTGTATTGGTGAAATAATCATATCCATGACATACCTCATTACTGATATAAGCACAAGCATCAGGTCTGTTTTAATCATATAAGTGTTTATTGTTCTTGACTGAAAAATCAATGAATTTTCTTTATGGCTGATTGAGATTAACTTACTGGCGGTACCTGATAGAATGGTTTCAAGTCGCAGACCTGGGCATCACAGCAGATGCTTTGGGATGTCAATGCAACAACAGCACTGAAATAATGGTGTAGAATTTATTTTTACACTGAAAACATTTCTTTTCCTCTTAACACTTTAGTTTATAGGAAAGTCTTGGTTGTAAAAATATTTTCCAGGTCGTCATCAACTATGATATTATGTCCATTTCAGATTTTCTTTTACAGTGACATATGATTGTATAAAAGATTTGAACTTGAAGTTTACAAAAACTCTGCTTTACCTTGATCAGGTCTGTACTGTAAAAGTTTTCCTGTTTTTATAACGCAATGTTTCCTTTTTCAGAGTAAATACATAGCAGAATGTTTGGACGAGATCAAACAAGAATTAAGGACAGAGAATATGGCAGTGAAGGCCAACGCAGTAAACAAGCTGACATATGTAAGTACATATGTGTAGTGATTGTAACTGAAGACAAACTAAGCTGTGTGCATTATGCATGTGAAAATGGTGATTTCTTTCCACAATTATCATTTGAATGCTGACCCCAGTTACTTCCCTTTGTATTGGGCCAAAGTTCTAACATTTATCAACTCTGGACCAGTATGTCAGAGAATATCAGAATAAGTTAAGCTATCTACCGCAATAGTCGCTCTGCCTATCAACAATCTTAAGCATCAAGTAATTTTTAGCTTACCTGGCTGGAAGGGCCAAGTGAGCTTATTTCAAGTGCAATGTCCGCTGTCCATCGTGATTCATCAATCCATTGTCCATCATCCAGCATCAACTCTTTCCTTTAAACAACTTCTTCTCAATAACCAATGAACCAAATGTTTTGATATTAGGCTGGTATGTCCCTAAGATGAAGCCTGGCAAAGTTTGCGAAAAGAAATGACCATAATTTATATTGAAGGCCAAAGGGTCAAATTTTTTCACTGTGGATGGATGATGTTTCACTTGACATTTGCTATATGTGGTTGACATTAGCTTAGGATGTGTCCTGTTCTGTGTGTGGTAGTTGACATAAGCCTGGGATGTGTCCTGTTCTGTGTGTGGTAGTTGACATAAGCCTGGGATGTGACCTGTTCTGTGTGTGGTAGTTGACATAAGCCTGGGATGTGACCTGTTCTGTGTGTGGTAGTTAACATTAGCCTGGGATGTGACCTGTTCTGTGTGTGGTAGTTGACATTAACCTGGGATGTGACCTGTTCTGTGTGTGGTAGTTGACATTAACCTGGGATGTGACCTGTTCTGTTTGTGGTAGTTAACATTAACCTGGGAAGTGACCTGTTCTGTGTGTGGTAATTGACATTAACCTGTGATGTGTCCTGTTCTGTTTGTGGAAGTTGACATAAGCCTGGGATGTGACCTGTTCTGTGTGTGGTAGTTGACATTAGTCTGGGATGTGACCTGTTCTGTGTGTGGTAGTTGACATTAAGCTGGGATGTGACCTGTTCTGTGTGTGGTAGTTGACATTAACCTGGGATGTGACCTGTTCTGTTTGTGGTAGTTGACATTAACCTGGGATATGACCTGTTCTATGTGTGGAAGTTGACATTAACCTGGGATGTGACCTGTTCTGTGTGTGGTAGTTGACATTAACCTGGGATGTGACCTGTTCTGTGTGTGGTAGTTGACATTAACCTGGGATATGACCTGTTCTGCATGTGGTAGTTGACATTAGTCTGGGATGTGTCCTGTTCTGTTTGTGGAAGTTGACATAAGCCTGAGATGTGACCTGTTCTGTTTGTGGTAGTTGACATAAGCCTGGGATGTGACCTGTTCTGTGTGTGGTAGTTGACATTAGCCTGGGATGTGACCTGTTCTGCAGGTGGTAGTTGACATTAGCCTGGGATGTGACATGTTGTGCATTTCTGCTGCTGGTTATCCTCTGGAGGCTTTGTGTTATGTCATAGTAAATTGATACCCAACAGACTTCTCAGCACTAATGAGGCCTGGGAAAGCAATTGTGTCGTTGTGTTTCATAGTTTAAACTATACTTGCGTAATACAATTTTCCATCGCCACATTCAAATTACTCAACGCCACGTAATTACACAAGCATGATATGCTTTTATTTTGTTGTTTTGAATTTTGTTTGGGAAAGAAGTAGAGATTTTTGGTAAATTCAGCTTTAACTATGATATGAAAAATCACTATATTTGGCTGTGAAAATGCACCAAAATGTTCTATAAGCTACAAGATTTGGCTATTACCAGCCTTATAAACATTCAGATATTATTCATTTGATTCTAGGAAATGCATCATTTGTAATTAAACTGTCTTGTTCTTGTGTTGTTTCCAGAATGTGATTTCTGTACATCATCTGTTTGAAATGAGACAGTAAGCTATGTTTATTATCTGTTTGAGATGAAACTGTAAGCTCTGTACTTCATCTGTTTGAAATGAGACTGTAAGCTTTGTATGTAAACTGTTTGAGATCAGACAGTAAGTTCTGTATCTCATCTGTTTGAGATGAGACAGTAAGCTTTGTATGTTAGCTGTTTGAAATGAGACATTAAGCTTCGATGTCAGCTGTTTGAGATGAGACTGTAAGCTCTGTATGTCAACTGTTTGAGATGAGACGTAGCTCTGTACTTCATATGTTTGATATGAGACTGTAAGATCTCTACCTCATCTGTTTGAGATGAGACAGTAAGCTCTGTACTTCATCTGTTTGAGATGAGACAGTAAGCTTTGTATGTCAGCTGTTTGAGATGAGACAGTAAGCTTTGTATGTTAGCTGTTTGAGATGAGACAATATAAGCTCTGTACTTCATCTGTTTGAGATGAGACGGAAAGCTCTGTATGTCAGCTGTTTGAGATGAGATGATAAGCTTTGTGCTTCATCTGCTTGGGATGAGAAGTAAGCTTTGTATGTCAGCTGTTTGAGATGAGACAGTAAGCTTTGTATGTTAGCTGTTTGAGATGAGACAGTAAGCTTTGTATGTTAGCTGTTTGAGATGAGACAGTAAGCTTTGTATGTTAGCTGTTTGAGATGAGACAGTAAGCTTTGTATGTCAGCTGTTTGAAATGAGATGATAAGCTCTGTGCATCATCTGTTTGAGATGAGACGTAGCTCTGTACTTCATATGTTTGATATGAGACAGTAAGCTTTGTATGTAAACTGTTTGAGATGAGACAGCAAGCTTTGTATGTAAACTGTTTGAGATGAGACAGTAAGCTCTGTACTTCATCTGTTTGAGATGAGACAGTAAGCTTTGTATGTTAGCTGTTTGAGATGAGACAGCAAGCTTTGTATGTTAGCTGTTTGAGATGAGACTGTAAGCTCTGTATGTCAACTGTTTGAGATGAAAATGTAAGCTTTGTATGTTAGCTGTTTGATATAAGAAGTAAGCTCTGTATGTCAGCTGTTTGAGATGAGACAGTAAGCTTTGTATGTCAGCTGTTTGAGATGAGACAGTAAGCTTTGTATGTCAGCTGTTTGAAATGAGACATTAAGCTTCGATGTCAGCTGTTTGAGATGAGACAGTAAGCTCTGTACTTCATCTGTTTGAGATGAGAATGTAAGCTTTGTATGTTAGCTGTTTGAGATGAGACAGTAAGCTTTGTATGTTAGCTGTTTGAAATGAGACAGTAAGCTTTGTATGTCAGCTGTTTGAAATGAGACAGTAAGCTTTGTATGTTAGCTGTTTGAGATGAGAAGTAAGCTCTGTATGTCAGCTGTTTGAAATGAGACAGTAAGCTTTGTATGTTAGCTGTTTGAAATGAGACAGTAAGCTTTGTATGTCAGCTGTTTGAGATGAGACAGTAAGCTCTGTAGCTCATCAGCCTGAAACTTCACATTGAACAATGACAGCAAAAGCAATCTAGTGATGACTTGAAATATAAATATTGATCAATTCAGAAAATACTACTTGCTTTACTAAAGGGTTATTTAAAGGTTATTTATTGATTTACTTGCTTTTAACCTGTCAGACTGTGTCAAGTGCCAGACAGTTTACATTCCAGTACCCAATAACCTTTGTGTCTATGTGTTAAGGCTGAAATATCCTTCTTCCTAATAAGTGTTTGATTTGAGAGAGAAGCTTTCTACCTGATCACTTATTGTCACAACAAGATTTTTTCTTTTGTCATTGCTATGGATACCTGGTATATCCATACATCATACCCATTTAGGCACTGATAATCCTGTTTTTTCACAATGAAATACCCCAGTATCTGCTTGGGTACTCTAGTTACCACCCCCATCAGTCAGAGTCATATTACTGTGAAATACCCCATTATCTGATAGGGTACACTAGTTACCACCCCCATCAGTCAGAGTCATACCAGTATTACTGTGAAATACCCCAGTATCTGATAGGGTACACTAGTTACCACCCCCATCAGTCAGAGAAGAGAAATATTATTTTGAAATATCCCAATAACTGAACATACTAGGAGTTGAAACTTCTCTCATTGGCAAAGAAACACCATGCAATATCTGAGTACAGGCAGACAATGTTAAGAGTCTCTTTACTAACCTTACACATTGTGTTTTGATGTGATGTTTGTCTCTGATACAGGTATGATTTATATTGCAATGTGTGTAATTCTGGAGACCCATGCCCTTTGTTCTTAAACCCTACATGTTTTACATATCATAGGATGTGCAATATGATTCCAATGTTTTGTGTTTATATGTGAACACTAATGTTCTGTGTCCACAGCTCCAGATGTGTGGGTATGACATCAGCTGGTCTGCCTTTAACATCATCGAGGTGATGAGCTCCACTAAGTTCACATTTAAGGTAAGTCTGTTGAAGCCAGGTATCCATGGAAACAAGTTTAGGGTCATCTGACAGAGGTGTAGATGTGACTTAGTTCTGATAACAATGTGTTCACTCAGCATACAAACATACCTTTACCTGTGTTGAAATGGGAGATAATCAATAAAATTAGTGGTGAACCTACCATACATTATAAATAAAAGCCCTTGTATGCTGCATTGGATATATAAACAGTAGAAACGCCTTTATAGCAGTGGCATATCTATACCCTGTCACAGAAGAAAATCATGTGTTGATAGGGGAAGTAACTAGTGTAGACTTGGCTTTTTACATCCATATTATTGTAATGAAATAGCTTTGTAATCTTACCAAATTTTTACATTACTTGATTTAATAGAGGAAACCTTTTTTGTATGGACATATACTTAACAATGTCAATAAGTTAGTGAGATTTCACAGAGAAGTACTGTAGCCATCAAATTTCGTGATTTCTTAATTTGTACTGTGTTCAGATCAGGAGAGAATTAAATATTAGGATTACTGAAGTCCGGGGGTGACAAGCATTATTTCTTCTTTTTTTTTTGATGGATTTTCAGAAACAAGCAGTACTCTGTAAATATTTTTCTGATTCACCTCTTATATTGTTGCTGTGTTTAGAAGCTTATTGACTTTAACGATTCCTGTAAGGGAGAAAAGACGTATGTGATTCTGTGGAATTCTTCCTAATTTTGATGAGTACTGTGGTATTTATTTGATGGTGAACTTATATCAACTTTATCCACAGTAAATCTACTTACTCATTAAACTGGGTTTAGATGACATAGAACCTGATTGTCTACTGTTTTAAGTTGTACTATTGTTATGATGCCCCCTATAATTTCCTTTGAAGAGGTAAGGGTTGTAAGTTAGCTTCTTGCTTACTATTGTACTTTTTCAGAGGATTGGTTACCTAGCTGCTGGACAGAGTTTCCATGAGGGTACAGATGTACTAATGTTGACCACCAACATGATCCGTAAGGTATGTTGTGTATAGCGATTTTACATTAGGAAAGTCTCTGTTTAAGGTTTTATGTACCATGAATGGGATTCATACCCTGCCAGGTTGTGTTTTGCTGTTATCAGTTCATTTTTATTGTTATATATTCAACAGGAAATAATAAATTACTGTAACATCATGTGTTTTCTGGGGCTAATTTTTGTAGGCCCCCCCACCCCCACCCCTCCCTATGGACCCTTGATTTTGGGAATAAATTAAGCTCTTTCAATCTGCTTGTACTAATTTTAACAGTTTTTGGACATATGAATTTGTTGATTGAGAGTAACAGCAAAATCCATGAAAATAAATTTCTCACGAAAATGAATGATTTTACAGTATATACTTATCCATTAATGTTGAATTTGTGATACTCTGTGAATGATGATATTATAGAACATTACACAGTAGTGTACTACTTATAGGAGACTGTTAATATTTTCACATTGAATTTGTGATACTCTGTGAATGATGATATTATAGAACATTACACAGTAGTGTTCTACTTATAGGAGACTGTTAATATTTTCACATTGAATTTGTGATACTCTGTGAATGATGATATTATAGAACATTACACAGTAGTGTTCTACTTATAGGAGACTGTTAATATTTTCACATTGAATTTGTGATACTCTGTGAATGATGATATTATAGAACATTACACAGTAGTGTACTACTTATAGGAGACTGTTAATATTTTCACATTGAATTTGTGATACTCTGTGAATGATGATATTATAGAACATTACACAGTAGTGTACTACTTATAGGAGACTGTTAATATTTTCACATTGAATTTGTGATACTCTGTGAATGATGATATTATAGAACATTACACAGTAGTGTACTACTTATAGGAGACTGTTAATATTTTCACATTGAATTTGTGATACTGTGAATGATGATATTATAGAACATTACACAGTAGTGTTCTACTTATAGGAGACTGTTAATATTTTCACATTGAATTTGTGATACTCTGTGAATGATGATATTATAGAACATTACACAGTAGTGTACTACTTATAGGAGACTGTTAATATTTTCACATTGAATTTGTGATACTCTGTGAATGATGATATTATAGAACATTACACAGTAGTGTACTACTTATAGGAGACTGTTAATATTGACATTATGATTAGATATCCTACTATCTTTCACTGTTAACAGGATCTGATCAGTACCAACATGTATGATGCTGGAGTAGCACTTAATGGCCTGGCATGTTTTGTATCTGCTGACTTAGCCAGAGACCTCGCCAATGACCTCATGACCTTGGTAAGTAAATATAAACTGATAGTAACATATTTCTGTTTAGATTTCTTTATTTTGAATGTCCATGTTACTATTTTTATAAATATGCATCCACCAATCACTGTCCTCTGTCAGTGATCAGTCACATGACCTACTTCAGACGGCTTTAACCAATCACTGTCCACTGTCATTGATCAGTCACATGATCTACTTTACACAACATTCACCAACCACTAGCTGTTGTCATTAATAGGTCATATGACCTACTGTAGATGGTACCTACCTATCTTTACCTACTCTTTGTTGTTGTTTATGCATTCTTATGTGTTGAAAGGCGAAGATAATCCTTGGTGCATAGGATGTGATGAGCCATTCACTGTTAAACATTTTTTATTGGACTGCATTGACCTTCTGTCTACTGGAGAAACATTACAAGTCTAAATAACCTTTTTGAAACTATTGAGATTTTTAAAATTCTAAATTATCTGAGAGCTGTTGGTTTTTATTATAGAATATGACTTACCACTTTAATCTTTTGTGGTAATATAACCATTTAAGATTTTTTAACATTTCTTTTTTACCTTTTACTTTGTTTGATGTTTTTTCCTTTTTGGATCTCAGTGTGTTCCACTGGATGATGGCCCTGATGACCTTTATGTGTTGATGGGTCGTTAAGATAATAATAATAATAATAATTGCAGTTGATCTAATGACCTTCCATCCTTTTATAGATGACATCAACCAAGCCATACCTGAGGAAAAAGGCTGTACTGATCATGTATAAAGTGTTCCTTCAGTTCCCAGAGGCCCTCAGACCAGCCTTCCCTCGACTCAAGGAGAAGTTAGAGGATCCAGACCCGGGTTTGTGTCACCTAGGAATATCTTCCTCAACTTAAATTTTAATAATTTCTGACTTGGTTTGAGTGTTGTTAATGCGACCATGGAAAATAGTACATACTTTACCTTATGTTAATGAATCAAATGTCGAGGAACATTAAATTCTACAAACCTGAATAATCTTGTTGTCTACATACTTGACAAAATGTGTTACAGGTGTTCAGTCGGCAGCTGTAAATGTGATCTGTGAGCTAGCAAGAAAAAACCCAAAGAATTATCTGTCTCTAGCTCCTCTCTTCTTCAAGTTGATGACCAGCTCCACAAACAACTGGGTCCTCATCAAAATCATCAAACTGGTAAGGTCATAGGTCAACCTGATCCAGCAAAGTTGTATATTATCATGGGTTCATATTTCATGGTTTTCCAAAAATATCTTTTTTTATTCTAGAATTCCTGGATCAGTCTTGATCACAATTTTCACTTCGTCTAATACTATAATCCATGTCAACTGTTACTTGTTTATCATATTGTGGACATATAAATCACTCAAAATAAATTTCCCTCAAAATTAATGAAATTGCATGAAGACATTGACTAGAGGTGTGATATATATAATGTCAGGGAGTATTCTGGTACTCACAGTGGGTAGACCTGATAATTGAGGGTCTTATATGTAATGTCAGGGGGTATTCTGGTACTCACAGTGGGTAAACCTGATAATTGAGGGTCTTATATGTAATGTCAGGGGGTATTCTGGTACTCACAGTGGGTAAACCTGATAGATGAAGGGTTTTATATATAATGTCAGGGAGTATTCTGGTACTCACAATGGGTAAACCTGATAGATGAAGGGTTTTATATGTAATGTTGGGGGGTATATATGTAATGTCGGGGGGTATTCTGGTACTCACAGTGGGTAGACCTGATAGATGAAGGGTTTTATATGTAATGTCGGGGGGTATTCTGGTACTCACAGTGGGTAGACCTGATAGATGAAGGGTTTTATATGTAATGTCGGGAGGTATTCTGGTACTTACAGCGGGTAAACCTGATAGATGAAGGGTTTTATATGTAATGTCGGGGGGTATTCTGGTACTCACAATGGGTAAACCTGATAGATGAAGGGTTTTATATGTAATGTCGGAGGGGTATATATGTAATGTCGGGGGGTATATATGTAATGTTGGGGGGTATTCTGGTACTCACAGCGGGTAAACCTGATAGATGAAGGGTTTTTATGTAATGTCGGGGGGTATTCTGGTATTTTCAGGTATGATATCATAGACTAGACTGGTAATGTTTATGAATTTGTTTTAAAAATTTCAGTTCAGTGCTCTGACCCCATTGGAACCTCGGCTTGGAAAGAAACTGATAGAGCCCCTTACCAACCTTATACACAGGTATTGTAATGTTTGGTACAGGTCTGATCTCCAGGTACTGTAGTACTTTGTTATACAGGTCTGATCTCCAGGTACTGTAGTACTTTGTTATATAGGTCTGATCTCCAGGTACTGTAGTACTTTGTTATACAGGTCTGATCTCCAGGTACTGTAGTACTTTGTTATACAGGTCTGATCTCCAGGTACTGTAGTACTTTGTTATACAGGTCTGATCTCCAGGTACTGTAGTACTTTGTTATACAGGTCTGATCTCCAGGTACTGTAGTACTTTGTTATACAGGTCTGATCTCCAGGTACTGTAGTACTTTGTTATACAGGTACATAGCTGATGGGAACTACTGATGATGAGAGATTTACTTGTAATATTGATAAACTGCAGATGTAAGATTTTGTTGCATTCTGGGTAATTAGTACCCCTTTTCACTCTTACTGTTTGCCTACAATTATGAAGGTCAACAGACCAAATTCGGAAGACCAGTTTTGTTTAAATTGATATGTAGGAGTTGTGTGGCAAATATATTGTTTCAAGGATGGTCTAATGTATTTGTTTGTATTTCTTACTGGTAAACTTTAAAGCAGAGTCTGACTCATTGCATGTGTATGTAGAGTAAGCTGAACATTTGATTTGTTGGCGCCATGAAGCATCATGGAATTTATGCAGAGGACTTTGATGATAAATAGGAAGTCTATTAATATTATATTTGTGTTTCAGCACATCGGCCATGTCACTTCTGTATGAGTGTATCAACACTGTGATTGCGGGTAAGTATGCCCTCCCTGTGTCACTGACCACCACTCACCTAGTATAGTTTCTAATCTATAACACTGTTTTACTGTGAACATCTTTATATATTATTTTGTTCTTTTCTTTTTATTTGCATAATGTTAAGGTCTCTTTTATTACTAAACTGGCAGAGCAGGAGATTTATTTGGCCGGATTCAGATATCTGACAGAGCAGGTGTAATGACAAAACAGGATTCAGATATCTGACAGAGCAGGTGTAATGACAAAACAGGATTCAGATATCTGACAGAGCAGGTGTAATGACAAAACAGGATTCAGATATCTGACAGAGCAGGTGTAATGACAAAACAGGATTCAGATATCTGACAGAGCAGGTGTAATGACAAAACAGGATTCAGATATCTGACAGAGCAGGTGTAATGACAAAACAGGATTCAGATATCTGACAGAGCAGGTGTAATGACAAAACAGGATTCAGATATCTGACAGAGCAGGTGTAATGACAAAACAGGATTCAGATATCTGACAGAGCAGGTGTAATGACAAAACAGGATTCAGATATCTGACAGAGCAGGTGTAATGACAAAACAGGATGCAGATATCTGACAGAGCAGGTGTAATGACAAAACGAATTCAGTTATCTGTGTTATCAAGTTTCTGACATATTCAATCCGACACATATTCAAATACAAAAAGGAAATTTCAAATCATAATTCTTATGATTCCCAATCACAAGAATAAACAATATCTTCAAAATGCATTTCTGAATTATGTGAATGAATAGTATTTATATCTGAATTTCTTGCTGATGTTGTTTTCTTCCTTGATACTTTCTACAAGTGACAATTTACTTTACAATCATTAGCATTGATGTCACTCTGCATTATGATTTTCTGTGGTATTTTTTTCCCTCTTGATAATGACGATAATTTATTCAACTTCAGGATAAAAAGTGATGTTTTATTGACTTTAAGTCCATGTATGATAGAGGTTATATATAGTTTTGTTTGATTTTAGTCGTAAATACTAAAGGTATGTTACAATCTTGCTTTAGATGTAACTTTTCCAATGAAAATTTAATCCTCCAATTTTTCATTTACAAGTGGTTGAAATGATTTCAGATTAACAGCTGAAACTGCTTAGTTTTCATTTGCATTGTGCTGCATCTGTTAGAAATTAATGTTCAACCTTCACTTCATTTAGGAAATTAAGGGGTTCTTTTACTACAAGTACCTTGTAGGTATCTGCTTATTAATAGTATTACTTTTCTAGAAATGACTTTCTTAGGGAAAAAAGGTATTACTTTTGTCTAACCAGAAGTTAAAAGTGTTGAATGAAGAAAGCATTTGTTACCAGGAGACCATCATTAAGTGTTTATTGTGATACGTATGCTTGATGGTACACTTCATGCAAACAAGGCCACTGCTGTCTTTACTAGATAAATAAATATAGATAAAGATATCTGTAAAATATGACAACATAATTGGAAACACAAAGTGTATTTATATTACCATGGTAACATGTTGACAGCTGTTGGTAATTACGTCACCATTGTTTGAGTAATGTTTGAATTCGATTGATTTGGAAACTTTATATCAGTTGACATGTTTGATGCCAACTGATTATGTATATCTAATATCTGATGATAGATAAATGTCCGCAGTGATTCCACTTCTAGTGTAGAATTCCTACTATTGTTAACTCATAACCTCTTTGGATATTATACTATTTAACTAATAAAAAATATATTGTTGTGAAATTAAAAGATTATAACAGCTACTATACATGTTAAAACTGTGTGTTGTTACACATGATTTTTTAAATTGCACATTTTTTTTCTAAAAACAAAAACCACTAACAGATTTTTTCTTCTGTTTTATAAATAACTTTAATTATCAAAGCGGTATTTTAGCATTCCTATTATGTTCTGAGAAATCAAATGTCTTATTCATCAAAGAATTTGACCTTATGCTTTTGAAGTAATTTAAAAGTGTTTCATAATTATTTTCTGAAATTGTTTTGAAGACAAAATTTAAAAGATTTGATAAGAAATGAAGTTGGAATTCTATGTAATTCTTTGTAATGTGAACAAATGACTGCAGAATAAGAGGAAATGTTTGTGTATATGTTGTGTATTTGTGTACTGTAGTACAGAGGATCACTGCTGACATGTTAATTGTTCTCTCTCCTCTGCTTACAGTACTCATTTCTATATCTTCAGGCATCCCGAACCACACCGCCTCAATACAGGTACATTTTACAGTCTTGGTCTGAACAGTCAAGGTGTCTGCTTCATCTTGGTGCTTTAACAGTTCTGTGATATGTTTTGTCACACTGCATGGGTGCTACAAGTACATCTCTACCTCTTAGATATATATTTTCAGCTTTTGTAAAGAAAAACAAAATGAAACACTTGTTTTATGTGAAATCACAAGTACTCAGCACAGGTTTAGTTCTTTCCGAGTCCTTTTAGATACTTCAAATTGATAATATTTTAAATGTAATGTTTACAATTTTTTGTGACATGGAAGTATATATATATATAAACATAGATATATGACAGATAAAGAAATTAGTTAAAAATACGCTACATCTTTCTAGCATGCTTGTGCTTTGCTGTCACTGTTGGTTGTAGCAGACAGCTTGCTGTTCAGTATGTATATTTGACCACACATTGAGGAGGTACAGCAGGGCAGGAGGGGACATGGCATGGTACTACAAATTATATATATATATATATATACCAGCTGTACTGTGGTAGAGGATCATGGTTGAGGAGATGTTAATTTATATGACCTTGCCCTTCACAATGTATTTGACCTGTTTTGCTTTATGCAGTTTTTTTCATTTCCCCTTTTGATTTTTGTCATGAGATATGAAGAATGTTTAAAGGTTTAGGTACTTGTGATGTTTCTTTCCTTAATTCCCTTTTTTTCTTGTCTTTTACTGCATTTAAGTTTTGGCACTCTTTAATTTCTTGACACATTGTGAGTTTGTTGAATTTATGCATTTAGACATCAATTTAACCGACACGTTTACTCTAAGAGAGAATCGCCTCCCTTTGTTAAATGTCAAACCAACGGAGAAGAACATCTGGTTTATTATATTCATTTCTTTTGTCTTTATTTATCAAATTTCCTTTTTCCTATACTTGCTTTTAGTAGATCTGAGAAGAGAAATATGATAATTATGGGGAGGTACTGAAGTTAACCTAATTCAGGTTGGAACTTAAAGTCCTCTATTGTCTCTATTGTCTACAATCTCAGTATGGCTAATATAGAAACAAGACCTAGTGTACATTCTCCATCAAACTTGAAACAAGAACTTGATGTATGAATATTTATATATTAAGGGAAGGAATGTGATGGAATATAGAAAAAAGCTCTTGCAGGATCACAGCATCCAATGTAGAATTTAAAATATATTTAAGTGTGCTGATGTTTATATTAATGCTTCTATAGAGTTACATGTACTCACAGCAAGTCAGTTACATGTATCTACACATTGGCCACATTATAGGACCCAACTTACATGTATCTAGACATTGGCCACCTTATACCACCCAACTTACATGTATCTAGACATTGGCCACCTTATACCACCCAACTTACATGTATCTAGACATTGGCCACCTTATACCACCCAACTTACATGTATCTAGACATTGGCCACCTTATACCACCCAACTTACATGTATCTAGACATTGGCCACCTTATACCACCCAACTTACATGTATCTAGACATTGGCCACCTTATTCCACCAAACTTACATGTATCTAGACATTGGCCACCTTATACCACCTTACTTACATGTATCTAGACATTGGCCACCTTATACTACCCAACTTACATGTATCTAGACATTGGCCACCTTATACCACCCAACTTACATGTATCTAGACATTGGCCACATTATACCACACAACTTACATGTATCTAGACATTGGCCACCTTATACCACACAACTTACATGTATCTAGACATTGGCCACCTTATACCACACAACTTACATGTATCTAGACATTGGCCACCTTATACCACCCAACTTACATGTATCTAGACATTGGCCACCTTATACCACCCAACTTACATGTATCTACACATTGGCCACCTTATACCACCCAACTTACATGTATCTAGACATTGGCCACCTTATACCACCCAACTTACATGTATCTAGACATTGGCCACCTTATACCACACAACTTACATGTATCTAGACATTGGCCACCTTATACCACACAACTTACATGTATCTAGACATTGGCCACCTTATACCACCCAACTTACATGTATCTAGACATTGGCCACCTTATACCACCCAACTTACATGTATCTAGACATTGGCCACCTTATACCACACAACTTACATGTATCTAGACATTGGCCACCTTATACCACACAACTTACATGTATCTAGACATTGGCCACCTTATACCACCCAACTTACATGTATCTAGACATTGGCCACCTTATACCACCTAACTTACATGTATCTAGACATTGGCCACCTTATACCACTCAACTTACATGTATCTAGACAATGGCCACCTTATACTACCCAACTTACATGTATCTACACATTGGCCACCTTATACCACCCAACTTACATGTATCTAGACAATGACCTTGATTGTGACAGAATGTATTAGATATGGTAAGATATTGTCTACTGTACCAAAATCTCTATAAGGCACAAATAAACTGACTCTAATTACAGATCTTCTATGTGTGTGACATTTTTACTGAACATCTCTCCACTTCTGTTTTAGGAGTTCCTATAGAACAAAATACCATTCCAGTTAACAAGACTAAGGTTTCGAGGTACCACATTGTATCTGACTTTGTGCCAGAGGGTGGGCTTATCACAGGACAATGAAATAGTATAGATAGAAATTTTATCAGATGGGTTTATTGTTAGATAAAACTAGGATTCATTGATATAAAACATATATATCAAGGTTGACGAAACTGTATAGTAAAAGTAGTATTCTCACCAGCCATGATCCAGTGTGTTACAGCGTAGTACTTTGCCATTTCTCTTCCAGTCTTTTGTCCTCAGGTAGTAAAGACATTGGGTCAACCTATAGTATTACTACCAACACTATAGAATCCTCATTATCTTATATATCCCACTATCCGCCTGTACTAATGGCCGTATCAAACACCAATGCTCGTATCATAGCTGAGCCTTGTTCATACTGATTTGCAATTTTTCTACTTGTATACCTATATCTATAATAAAAATGATTAAGTTGTTTAAATTGCACCAATTATAACAGTATTTGATTCATCAATGAAAATTCACAAATGTTGCTTTCACAAATTTAACATTTCTTACAACTTAAACAATTGATTTGATATAGGGTGATTAAGTGATATATCAAAACTTATAATAAGTTTTATGTATGGTAAAATGAATTACTGTAGTCTCTCAACACAATCCTCCACCTGCATACAGCTGTACTTGGACACCAAAACCTGGTCATGCTTGTTACCTTTCATCACACTCTCCCCCAAAACATATCCCTTCTACACTTAATGGGGAAATAAAGACCTGTTGGTAGGGATATAACATGTTTTTATTACATTATAATAGTTATTGTACGGAGAAACTGAAGAAATGACATGAAAATTTTGTGTTAGAGATGCTTATCGTCTGAAAGTACTACAGGTGGGAAAGTCTTTATCATCAAAGTTTGTTCAATAACTGAGGAAAAACATTCCTAATATGAATAGTAAACTTTAATGTATATAAGTTCTAACTATGGAGAATCATTTGCTGATTAAGAGGAGTCATCACGAAATGAGTAGATGAATATTCTGACCTGGGTTTTTTTTTGTAAGTACAGTATATCCAGGGGGACACATGCATGTGAGAGATGATCCAAATGTATTCAACGGACATTCTTGCCTGCAGATATAATTTGTGGTATAATTGATGTTGTCAAGGTTATCCTGACTAAAACAACACTAGGACTCACCTTGTTTATTGTCCTTACCGTTTGGTAGACAAATCAAATTGTTGCCAATTTTCTTCATCATTGTCTGCTTTTTTTCCAGCTTTGTGTTCAGAAACTTAGAATTTTGATTGAAGATTCCGACCAGAATTGTGAGTATATACCAATATTGTAAATGTCAATGCTCTTTCCATTTCATTTCTTGATGGTTATTGATCATAATAGAAGTCTTTTGTGTTATTTAGTTCATATTGAGTGATGCGAAAGACAACAAATCTGACAATCGTGTGTCTGTGACAGTTGACCTCTGTGTTAGTTCACTTACCAATATCAAATTGAAGTGACCCTGACTTCTGATTGGCTAATGCGTTTCTGACTAAGAAAGATTACTTGTAGGTGCCTATAAACCCAGTACAATTTCTAAGTCTTTTAATGCCACATATATTGTTTTATTGTTTCAGTTAAACTTGCTGTAATAGATCAACAAGGATTAGAAACTTGTGAACAATTTCTTACTAAAGAATAAAGTCTGTTCCATACAACACTTAATGCTTATAGAATTTAGATTGAAGTGAATAATTCAACAAAGACCACAGAGGAGCAATACAGGCCACTTGGGCTTCTTTATCGTGGATGTGCATCCAAATTGATGGCATTATCTTTCTGTGACATGACATTGTTCAGTAAAATGATGACGCTACCACATAGTGAGTGACATCATAGTGCATGTTAGCTATGTTTTTCTTTCTAAGGAAAGGACAGATTGATCTTTTCCCTACCAAAAACTGGAATACGCAAGTGAAGTATGGGAGAAAATACATTCCTGCATTCATTGACCTCTCTGTCCATAGACAAAATATTCAAACACTGAACCTTCTAATCTGACCTCTCTGTCTATAGACAACAGATTCCAACACTGAACCTTCTAATCTGACCTCTCTGTCTATAGACAACAGATTCCAACACTGAACCTTCTAATCTGACCTCTCTGTCTATAGACAACAGATTCCAACACTGAACCTTCTAATCTGACCTCTCTGTCTATAGACAACAGATTCCTACATTGTTCCTTCTAATCTGACCTTCCGTGAAGTTACATATACAGCGTGTTTACATGTATATTGAATTGAATGTTACTGTTTATCATTATTTGTGGTATTTAGTTCAATTCTAACTTGAGAATTCTCAATTCCAGTGAAGTATCTTGGACTGCTAGCTATGTCTCTGATGTTGTGTGATATTTCTGTTCTGACTATAAAGTGTTTTATATTCCAGTGAAGTATCTTGGACTGCTAGCTATGTCTCTGATGTTGTGTGATATTTCTGTTCTGACTAAAGTGTTTTATATTCCAGTGAAGTATCTTGGACTGCTAGCTATGTCTCTGATGTTGTGTAATATTTCTGTTCTGACTAAAGTGTTTTATATTCCAGTGAAGTATCTTGGACTACTAGCTATGTCTCGAATCTTGGCCAGTCACCCTAAGAGTGTACAGTCCCACAAGGATCTTGTGTTACAGTGTCTGGACGACAAAGATGAATCAATCCGACTACGAGCCTTAGATTTGCTGTATGGTATGGTGAGTAAATAAACGCTTCTGAATTTAAAGTTTTTCTTGCATTCTGTTGTGCCAGTGGAGAAATTTCCCTCAGGGGGAATTACGTTGGGTCCCGTTTCCATGTGTCTCCATGGGACGTCCATGGTTCGGAGTGACTGTGGAGTATTACAAGACATAGGTGAAGTGTTACCCTGGGTCAGATGTCTTTAATGCTTTCTGTTTAGGAACAGTTTATCTATTCATGGTTCATTACATAATAGACTTTGTTGGTGCTGAATTCCCAAATTATTGTTTTGATTTCCCTTGAAATAAAATCTTTATCTAGCAATAAGCCCATGCATGGTAATATCTGTTCAAAAGAATTCTTAAATCACTGCTATTTTACTGTCCTACAATAAGACCAGCCCCTGTCTGGAATGCTGGAGGATAGATAGAGGGATATATATATATATAGGAAGATCTGTCGTATAAATAATAGTAGAACACGCTAACACTCAATGGCTTTATTGTAGGTGTCCAAGAAGAATTTGATGGAGATTGCAAAGAAGTTGATGATCCACATGGACAAGGCTGAGGGCACGCATTACAGGGATGAACTACTCGCTAAGATCATCGAGATCTCCAGCCAATCGAACTACCAGTACATCACCAACTTTGAGTGGTAAATGTTAACTTTGTATGATTAAATATAAAGTTTGTTTCTCATTGTTAGGCCAAATGGTATGAAAATGCATTCACAACTTCAAGATTTATCACAAAGTTTGGGGGAAAGATGAGGTCACAGCCTTTGTTTAAAAGATTGTTGTTAAAAAAGAGGAAAGTAAGTTCTAAGCCAGACAATGTGATATAGGTCTTCTCTTGAAGTTAGAATGATTTGTTAAGTTTTAAAATGTTTTGATTGTTTTATTTAGGTATGTTAGTGTACTTGTGGAACTGACACGCATGGAAGGTACTCGTCACGGTCGACTGATAGCATCACAGATGTTGGATGTAGCTATTCGTGTACAAGCAATTCGTCCATTTGCAGTGTCCCAGATGGTAAGTATGAGGGCATTGATATGTAATAAATACAAATAAATGTATTTGGAAAGGTAGCCTTGTTACAGATTACAATCTGTTTTCTGATTGTCTTTCACTGTATTTTGTTTGCTTAAATTCATAAATTTAAAATAATTATTACTTGCAGGTGACCTAAACATTGACAGTAAATTAATAAAAGATATTTCATAATTTTGTATTTTTAGGCTGTTTTATTAGAGAACTCCCATTTATTGGCCAACAACTCCCAGAGGAATGGTATTTGTGAGGTTTTATATGCTGCAGCCTGGATATGTGGCGAATTCTCCGAGTAAGTATATAAGACTAATAACATAGTGCTCTTCTATGACTTTCTATCGAATAGGTTATCATTGCCATTCATAGAGATTGGACTTACTTGATTTGGCTGTATCCATGCTGAAGAAAAGTCATATTCCAACAGATATTTATAAACATTATTCATTTTCCTGAAAGATCCCAAATCCCTTAAAGGAAACTTTACATACATTTAGTTTTTAACTGGGTAAATGGGAGTTTTGAGGTTACTTTTGAATTACAACTTTGTAGAGTGAGTTTTGAGATACAACTTTGTAGAGTGAGTTTTGAGATACAAATTTATAGAGTGAGTTTTGAGATACAAATTTATAGAGTGAACTTTATAGGTATTTTTTAATGCAGATTGTCATTTCATTAGAAATGTTCATTGTTCTGATGGACTCACAGATTCATAGAATTGTGAAAATTGAAACTTAACACCATGAAAATTAGCCTGCCTTCAGATAGTTTACTGGTTTGTACTTTGGTAGCCACCTTAAGGACCCACGGGTAACTCTGGAGGCCATGCTGAAACCAAAGATCACCGCCCTGCCTGGCCATATTCAGAGTGTGTATGTACAGAACATCATCAAGTTGTTTGCCAATGTTCTGCTTGCTGCTGAACAGGAAGACAATCAGGAACTTATGCGTGAAATGGGACAGCTCATGGTGGAGAAACTTCCTATGTTTGTGCAGAGCTCTGACCTTGAAGTCCAGGAAAGGGTAAGGATAGAGTTCTAACTTGTTAAGTCTGGGAGACACACATAGCATTGACTTAGACTTTCAGGAAAGGGTACATACATACTGATTTCAGAACTAGAAATGCTGAACGGATAGATATACAGCTTCCACTTGGAAAGCACAGGACAGGCTTAGAATAGAACTCTGATAGGAAGTCTTTGTAAAGATTGGATACATAACTGGGATCTTGGGGTCCAAGAAGGAGTAAGGACAGAACTTGAGGTTCAGCAAAGTATTACTACCGAGCCCAAGCTCAGAGTTTCAGTGAAGGATTGGTAGAGATTTCTTAACTTGAGGTTCAGTAAAGAGTGGTACACAATCCAGTAAAGAGTGGTACACATTCCAGTAAAGAGTGGTACACATTCCAGTAAAGGGTGGTACACATTCTAGTAAAGTGGTACACATTCCAGTAAAGGGTGGTACACATTCCAGTAAAGGGTGGTACACATTCTAATAAAGGGTGGTACACATTCCAGTAAAGAGTGGTACACATTCCAGTAAAGTGGTACACATTCCAATAAAGGGTGGTACACATTCCAGTAAAGAGTGGTACACATTCCAGTAAAGGGATCAGATCTCTTATTACCAGGTTCAATAAAGTTTGTTACATTTACCTGGAGATTAAATGATGTTGGGTACAGATTTCTGACCAGACTAGAAGGTTCCACAAAACATCTATTCAAAAATGATATAATTGAAAGTAGCTGATTTCAGGTTTATGACTAATTTATCCAAACTACTTCTGACCAAAATCAATGTGGTTTGTAGTACTTTGTGAAGATTTTACACCATTTGTTTATCCCTGTACAGGCATGCTGTGTGCTGCAGCTGGTGAAGTATGTGCTCAAGTTGATGGACAAGGGTGCTAAGGTGGGAGAGGAAGTGGCTGCCCTGTTTGCTGGTGATCTCAACCCAGTAGCACCTAAGGCTCAGCGCAAGGTGCCGGTACCGGAAGGGTGAGTATGTGGCCATGTTCACTGTGTGATATTAACACTCTCATTCATCATGAGGTGTCTCTGTCAACACATCAAGTGTAAACACAACTCATGCTTAAATAAAATATATGCTGGTTTCCTGCTACCCAACTGAGCCACTGGCACCAGTGCTTTGTAAGGTTACTGTATTCTGAATGAAATAAAACCAAATTAGACATTAAAAGAGCATTTTCTTGTACATAATCTAACCTTCAGGTCATAAGGTCAATTTTGTAAGGTTATAATCGAACATCTAAAAATTCATTTACAGTATTTCTTTATTCAAACTTGACCTAGATTGTAATAATTTTTACAGACTCGACCTTGATAAATGGATAAATGAGCCTCCCTCAGACAGCTCCGATGAGGAAGTGGGTGGAGTGTCCATCTTCAGCCTCGGCCGTGAAGAACACAGGTAGGAGTTGCTCAGTATGTCAGCTGTTTATGTTGACATATTTGTCAATCTTAATCTATTTATTTGTAGGAGAAATAAATGAGGGAAGGACTGTATACTGTAAAATCTTACTTTTTGGTGGGGCTTAATTTTTATGGTTTTTAAAGAAACAACTTTTTCTTTGTCACTTAATTAGGTGTATAAATATAGCTCAGTGTACAGCTATACAGTTCATGGACATTATAATTTGTGGATTGAGAAAACTCGCAAAATCAATAAAAATTCCCAGTGAAAATAAATATTTGACAGTAGTTAATCTTATGGAGGGTAATATTTCACAATTGTCCTGATTGTGCTAAGTCCGTGTGGATAAGATATCATCAGACTTCTCCAGCTTTAGTGGTAAACAGCAAAGCATTTTGTAGCATTGGTATCCATATATATATATATATAGATGGGGGAGTGGGGGCACAGTAGCTCAAGTCAGTCACAGCATTGGCTAACATAACTGTGGTTCGAAGTGTCCTACCTGTTGCTGGTTGTTTTTCCTCAGTAAACCGAGTTTGTGCTGGCATGGCTGTGTCATTGGCAAGACATTTTAGTCTAATTGTATGTTATGAGCCTCCTGTATGTTGTTCATTGAGGTAGCCACCAGTCACCTCAGAGACCTCGCCTCAAAATTGGTTGATGAACCTAGCATTTAGACAAATAATACATATTAGTAATGATTTGTGCAAATTTACACACTTTATATTGTGATTCCTTCGTGATCTGATCGAGTACTGAAGACAACCGGGATGTTGGTTCTCTCCCACTCCGTAAGGAGTTTTTTATTTACACTTTATTTTTGAACAGAACCACTTGACAGAATTTAAAATATCTACAGTAATTTTATGTAACTATATAGTAACAACAATAACCTTTCATCTTAATCTCCTCGAGTATATATATTTCAGATGTTATCATGATAACATTAATGTAAAGCGTCTTGTTTTGTAGACCATTCTATCAGACAGAGGAAGCCAAGCCAGTGTATGAACCTACAGAAGAAGAATTGGAAAAGGTATTAACATTAAATATGGATTCAACAGCTGGAGGGTTGTAACACTGTAATAATTGAGTGTAATCATTCATTCTTTATCTGACAATCTGATAGATTGCCATTCTGTCTCGCTGATGACATATTGATACAACATACAGTAGGCAGAACACTCTATATATCTATGTAGGTTGGGACCTAATTTAAAGTGGATTTCACTGCTGTTTAGACACTTGTTTTCCCTGTCAATATTGTACCAAAGTATTGAAGGCTGAGGAAGTGTTACTGTATATAATTTTTTTATCATTGTAGAAAGGAAAGACTGGTTTCCTTTGTTAATGAAAACTACCTCTATATTGATTTTGTAGCTGAAACTGCTTACATTTTGATTCATCCGTTGTTTCTCTGTTTTCATCAGCGACGATCACAACGGAAGATTGACCAGATGCACAATCCTCATTATCTCAAGGCAGATGATAAATCAATGGTGAGATTTTTACTCAGTGATTTTCAAGCCATCACTTTATTAACTTCAGAAATGAATGAAATGGGATGTGAAATTTATTTAGCTTGTTGATAAATTCAGTACAAATATGGCTTTATCAGAATATGTCATATTTTAGGGTAACCAGTTATGTACTCACTTTGGTGTGAGATTTGTGTGAATCTCAATAGACCTTGATAGAAAATGAACTCACATCAAAGTATGTATTTAGTATGGGTTACTTGTCAGAGATCAGTTCTTTTCAATGGATCAATTTTTTTATACGATTTTTTGTGGAAGTCATGAAATGTTATTTTCTTTGTGCAGTAGATATAGTAGACCCTCATCATTATTAGTTAGACAGTAAGATTTTACTGAGTATTTGCTATATATGTGTCTGTTTCAGAGAAAAAGAAGTAATGACCTTACGAAGGTGGATGACATTCCTGTAGCCCATATAGATATATCTGTTCCCCTCCATGTACCAGGTAAACTTATCTGGCATTTATCTTCTGCTTACCAACACCTCTCTCACTTGGGTCCTTCCTAACAGCTCATTACCTTCTTCATATATGTAGGTTTGAACGTTCATATCTTTGTCTTAGTTGGACAGTAGGTGGGTGGGTATCTGTGTTTATCTCTGGTACATGTAGTGGATTGACTTGTGAAGCTGTGTAAGTTGGACAGTAGGTGGGTGGGTATCTGTGTTTATTTCTGGTACATGTAGTGGATTGACTGGTGAAGCTGTGTGTGTAAGTTGGACAGTAGGTGGGTGGGTATCTGTGTTTATTTCTGGTACATGTAGTGGATTGACTTGTGAAGCTGTGTAAGTTGGACAGTAGGTGGGTGGGTATCTGTGTTTATTTCTGGTACATGTAGTGGATTGACTGGTGAAGCTGTGTGTGTAAGTGGATGAGTAGTGGGAATAATGTGTGTAAGGTCTGTGGGCCATTGGAACTTGTGTGTATAGGAATCAGTAGTTCATGGGAATTTTGTTTGTTAATGAGTCAGTAGATGGTGGGAATCTGTGTATGTGGGTCAGTAGGAGGTGGGAATCTGTGTATGTGGGTCAGATGATGGTGGGAATTCTGTGTATAGGATGGTCAGTAGGTGGTGGGAATTCTGTGTGTCTTGGGATCAGTAGGTGATGGGAATTTTGTGTATAGGATGGTCAGTAGGTGGTGGGAATTCTGTGTATAGGATGGTCAGTAGGTGGTGGGAATTCTGTGTATAGGATGGTCAGTAGGTGGTGGGAATTCTGTGTATAGGATGGTCAGTAGGTGGTGGGAATTCTGTGTATAGGATGGTCAGTAGGTGGTGGGAATTCTGTGTATAGGATGGTCAGTAGGTGGTGGGAATTCTGTGTATAGGATGGTCAGTAGGTGGTGGGAATTCTGTGTATAGGATGGTCAGTAGGTGGTGGGAATTCTGTGTATAGGATGGTCAGTAGGTGGTGGGAATTCTGTGTATAGGATGGTCAGTAGGTGGTGGGAATTCTGTGTAAAGGATGGTCAGTAGGTGGTGGGAATTCTGTGTATAGGATGGTCAGTAGGTGGTGCGAATTCTGTGTGTCGGTGATTAGTAGGTGGTGAGAATTCTGTGTATCTGGGGATCAGTAGGTGGTGGGAATTCTGTGTGTCTGGGGATCAGTAGGTGGTGGGAATTCTGTGTCTGGGGATCAGTAGGTGGTGGGAATTCTGTGTGTCTTGGGATCAGTAGGTGATGGGAATTTTGTGTATAGGATGGTCAGTAGGTGGTGGGAATTCTGTGTATAAGATGGTCAGTAGGTGGTGGGAATTCTGTGTATAGGATGGTCAGTAGGTGGTGGGAATTCTGTGTATAGGATGGTCAGTAGGTGGTGGGAATTCTGTGTAAAGGATGGTCAGTAGGTGGTGGGAATTCTGTGTATAGGATGGTCAGTAGATGGTGGGAATTCTGTGTATAGGATGGTCAGTAGGTGGTGCGAATTCTGTGTGTTGGTGATCAGTAGGTGGTGAGAATTCTGTGTATCTGGGGATCAGTGGTGGTGAGAATTCTGTGTATCTGGGGATCAGTAGGTGGTGGGAATTCTGTGTATCTGGGGATCAGTAGGTGGTGGGAATTCTGTGTGTCTGGGGATCAGTGGTGGTTGGAATTCAAACACAGGGTTTGATAAACAATCCTCTTATTTAATAGGCTTGTCTTCCTCAGACCAATACATGAACTTGTCCAAAAAAGAGAAGGAGAGGGGGAAGAAGGGACGGAAAGGAAAACACAAACGTAAGAAGGGCCGTGAAGACGAGGACTCTGACGATGATATTCCCACTACACATCAAGTCAGTACTGTGGTGGATCTTCCTGAGGTAGGATTGGGTTTTATTGTGTCAGCTTGACCAGAAGATATCACAGAGAATGTTTAGATCTTAATCTGTCTCCAAAACATTTGCTGAAAGTGGTTTTGATCAATCTGGCAACTGACTGATTTCTGCTGACACAGAGTTGATAAATTAATGTTGATATTCATCAGTCTGTGTTTAGGATCAGAATCTGTTTTAGAAATAACTGGGTGCTAAACGATTTTTGACCTCCCCCTTTGAAGTGTTTTGTAAGATTTGGATAAAAAATTATTATTATTAGCTTGTTGTGAGGACAAGAACATTTACTTAATGGTTGCTCCAACAGAGCAGACAACCAAGATCATAGGAGGTCACTGGATGCAAAACATATTTTTGACAACAATCACAGACTATTTGTCAGACTTCTATGAAACATTGCGTCTGATTTAGATGAAATTTTGTAACTTCCAAGACAGAGTTTGGGATAAAACTGGGGTTTTTTTTATTGTAATTTGGTAATAGTATTACCACTGTGAAAAATATTCAAAATATAATTCATTCTTTGTAAACATAGAACATGTGGAAATATGTATATTTCCATATCACTGTTCTTCCTTTTCCATTTCTCACTTACCCTGGAAGGTACAATGACCTCTGACCTTCCTCCTCTTGATAAGTCCCTTATACCAAGGTTATGTGTTATATGGTTTATTTCTATTTCTCAGGGTGCCAGTGTATCTGACAATGAGGATAACAAGAACTCAAATGAACTGTACAGAAAACTCGACATCAACTTGGATGAGTAAGTTTTATCATCGGCAGAAGTATTCAGGTAAAATTGAATCTTGGATTATGCAACCAATCGATACCTTCGCCCTCCCTATCAGTGGGTATCAGTAGATTTTACATTTTCAACTTCTTTATGATAACCCGTGAATCAGTTTTGACCAAACTGGATTGGAATGATGTTTGGTTGAAGAGGATCAAAACTTTAAGGATGTGAAGTTTTCAGAATTGTATACCTTATTTGCTATGTGACAATTACATCTTTTCTACAGAATGATAACATAATTATCTCCTGTTATATGATAAAGAGAGATTTTCTGCCCTGAGATCTTTTACATAAGGATGCCTTGATTAATGCTGTATAAAAAGGGATCCCTAATCTTTGCCCTTGGCCCCTTTTGGGTAATGAAAGCTTTACCGCTGTACAAGGTAATGGGGCTCAATTCTCTGCTTACCAGAACAATTACATGGTTAATGTTATACGATCCATATCCTCTACCCGATGTAACAATGGTTTGTTTACTGCAGTATGATATTTTTTCTAGTACCATAATTACATTATTGTTGTAGGGTAGTAATGGGTCCATTCTCTTTTCCAGGCCCTTACGGGATGATGAGGTGATTCCAGTGCGACAACACCATATTGTTCTGGGATCACCCAACAATATAGACGACGAGGTGGAAGAGCAACCACGGCGTAAACACAGAAAGGCTAAGGACAAAGACAAGGAGGATAAGAAAAAGCATCGAAAGGAAGGAAAAGAAAAGGTAACTTCTACATCAGAGGCCTCAGTCGCAGGTCAAGAAAGAGTAACTCGCTGATCAGAGGCGTCAATCACAGGTCAAGAAAGAGTAACTCACTGATCAGAGGCCTCAATCACAGGTCAAGAAAGAGTAACTCAGTGATCAGAGGCCTCAATCGCAGGTCAAGAAAGAGTAACTCGCTGATCAGAGGCGTCAATCACAGGTCAAGAAAGAGTAACTCACTGATCAGAGGCCTCAATCACAGGTCAAGAAAGAGTAACTCAGTGATCAGAGGCCTCAATCACAGGTTAATAAAAAGTAACTCAGTGATCAGAGGCCTCAATCACAGGTTTATAAAAAGTAACTCAGTGATCAGAGGCCTCAATCGCAGGTCAAGAAAGAGTAACTCGCTGATCAGAGGCGTCAATCACAGGTCAAGAAAGAGTAACTCACTTATCAGAGGCCTCAATCACAGGTCAAGAAAGAGTAACTCAGTGATCAGAGGCCTCAATCGCAGGTCAAGAAAGAGTAACTCGCTGATCAGAGGCGTCAATCACAGGTCAAGAAAGAGTAACTCACTGATCAGAGGCCTCAATCACAGGTCAAGAAAGAGTAACTCAGTGATCAGAGGCCTCAATCACAGGTTAATAAAAAGTAACTCAGTGATCAGAGGCCTCAATCACAGGTTTATAAAAAGTAACTCACTGATCAGAGGCCTCAATCACAGGTCAAGAAAGAGTAACTCGCTGATCAGAGGCGTCAATCACAGGTCAAGAAAGAGTAACTCACTGATCAGAGGCGTCAATCACAGGTTTATAAAAAGTAACTCAGTAATCAGAGGCCTCAATCACAGGTTTATAAAAAGTAACTCACTGATCAGAGGCCTCAATCACACGTTAATAAAAAGTAACTCACTGATCAGAGGCCTCAATCACAGGTCAAGAAAGAGTAACTCACTGATCAGAGGCCTCAATCACAGGTTGATAAAAAGTAACTCAGTAATCAGAGGCCTCAATCACAGGTTTATAAAAAGTAACTCACTGATCAGAGGCCTCAGTCACAGGTCAAGAAAGAGTAACTCAGTGATCAGAGGCCTCAATCACACGTTAATAAAAAGTAACTCACTGATCAGAGGCCTCAATCACAGGTCAAGAAAGAGTAACTCAGTGATCAGAGGCGTCAATCACAGGTTAATAAAAAGTAACTCAGTGATCAGAGGCCTCAATCACAGGTTTATAAAAAGTAACTCACTGATCAGAGGCCTCAATCACAGGTCAAGAAAGAGTAACTCAGTGATCAGAGGCGTCAATCACAGGTTAATAAAAAGTAACTCAGTGATCAGAGGCCTCAATCACAGGTTTATAAAAAGTAACTCACTGATCAGAGGCCTCAGTCACAGGTCAAGAAAGAGTAACTTAGTGATCAGAGGCCTCAGTCACAGGTCAAGAAAGAGTAACTCAGTGATCAGAGGCGTCAATCACAGGTTAATAAAAAGTAACTCAGTGATCAGAGGCATCAATCACAGGTTAATAAAAAGTAACTCAGTGATCAGAGGCCTCAATCACACGTTAATAAAAAGTAACTCACTGATCAGAGGCCTCAGTCACAAGTCAGTAAAGGGTAACTCGCTCATCAGAGGCCTCAATCACAAGTCCATAAAGAGTAACTCACTGATCAGAGGCCTCGGTCACAGGTCAGTAAAGGGTAACTTGCTCATCAAAGGCCTCGATCACAGGTTAATAAAGATAATTTTTTATGAAATAGTAGTATTTGTTTGTATCACGTCAGTCCTGTTAAAAAGAATTGTTAAAATCGGTATTGGAATTATCATTATTATTGAAATAATTTTTTTTTTCAATTCTTTGACCTTGAGAACCACTTCTTACTCTAGTGACAAAGATAGGTTGTTGTGGGGGTATTGATTGATGTTGATGATGGGTAAACAATTCCTTCCTAGGGAACTAGGTTTTGACTAACAATCTGTCACTTTAGAAAAATTATCATTGTGTCAAATTAAACATGTATCTATAGTTTCAGATGTAGAATTATTTTAAAAACAATTTTGCTATTTAACAGAAAGGCAAGAAGCGTGATAAAAAGCGGTCTGAAGCCACAGACTCAGTATCTAATTTGTTGCTGGAGACAGACACACAAAGTGGGCCTGAAGTGGAGGTGGTCACCAATGGCCCAACCACAGTGGACACACCGCCAGAAAACAATGTCCAATCAGGGAAGGTGGGTAGCCATATAAGGGCGGATGTTTTAATTGATTTTACATACACATTGCTATTATAACTAAAATCCTTTTGTTTGTCTGTATGTAAGATACGTTAGTCTCCAATAAAGGTGATTTGATGACATAGATTTCTGATAATTAGCCATTACGTTTGTGATTCTATAGGAAGATGACATAGACTTTTGGCTATCGAGTAACGGAGCTACTCCATCACCTACAAACCCAACAGTTGTGGTAGAAAACATGGATGTAGATGCTGTAGGCTCCAGCGATGAAGACGGAGATAAAAAGGTGGGTGATGTTTTGTGTAGTACAGATTATCAATCTCTGGACTTGGACCTGCCCAGGATATATGGAACCTAGTCATTTTGCAGTGAAATAAGGAATATTGAGAATTATAATAAACCTTTTGATGTAATGTCTATGTAACTTGGGGAAAAAATTTGGTTGCTTAGCGAGATTTTCTATACACTGAAACTAGCTTACTTGAAATATGATTTGCTGGTCTATTAGAAGATATGTATAATTTGCAGGTAGATCAAAATCCTGTATGTGAACCAGGAACATTTTGAAGAAAGCCTTACTTTGTGTGTAGTCTGGAAGACTTATCACCTCATTCATCCCCACAGTTTGATACTAATTGATTCACTCTGTTATTTAGAAACTCTCAGACTCTACAAACTAATCAGTTAATTAACAATATATGATGTGTGGTACAATATCTTATTTAGAAGATAAAGAAAAAGAAAGAAAAGAAGGCTAAGAAGGACAAGAAAGATAAAAAAGACAAAAAGAAGAGACTGCGAGCTGAGTATGAAGAGGCAGACGGAATAACTACTCCTTCAAAAGAACAGTTACCCCCTGGAGAGGCAGAAACACCACTGAACAATAAAATGCCAGTAGGTTTTTTTACCAGTGTCTCACTGGAATGTAGAGTTACCAAGTTTGTTCAAATGAATGACCTTGACCTACTTGCAAGGCCACAGGGATTAAGTGGGTTAAATCTTCAAACAATTTTAACAACTTTCTTATGTATTAATCATATTTTCATCATAATATACTGTAAATAAGGGACATGATGTTTGGGATGACGCAAACTTCACTGGAATTCTTCTTATAACCATTTCCATTCAGATGCTGCAGAGCAAGTCAGAGATACAAGCCCTTGGGTCATCCTTTCTAATTTTTTTTTTTTAATTTTAATTATTCCTAGATTTATTTAACACAGAAAAATTTGCTTTTCTCCCCATTATTCAAATAAGATCAAATAGAAATATTTGTATATATAAATTTTATGACTAATACATTTCATGATTTCCAGCCAATGTCGGGGTACAAACATTTGGCTGAAAATGGGACAGTACAAATGGTAAGTTTTGGCGGAATGAAAACTTGCTGAAAATCATTCAGTTAAAATGATGAGTAATATTGGGAGAAAAACAGTCAATCATACTCTTTATATTAAACAGTTGTGTACTCATAGTTCCATTTAACATTTATTAATGTGATAAATGATAGCAATGCATCATGGCAGTCTAAAAAATTTGTCAACTCCAGGTCAATGTTCTGAAACTTTTGCTATGATGGATCTAGCTGTCAGTTAACTGATTTGAATATGAAATTTGCATTGTCTGGTGTTTTCTACAGACGTACGAGACAAGAGTGAACCCCACGCGGACAGACCAAGTGGTCATATCGGTTGTGTTTGTGAACCTTACAGATAACCAACTCAAAGACCTCGAGTTTAATGTCATGGACACACTTAACACTAAATTAATTAGAGCGGTAAGTTGATATCCTCTAGCTCGAAGTTGTTTCCTCCCCCGACCCCACTCTCACATTATGTAAGACTTAACACAGAATTAATGAGAGCTGTAAGTTGATATGCTCTATCTAGCTGTTGTTTCCTCCCCCAACCCCACCCTCACATTATGTTCTGCTTAACATTAAATTAATAAGAACTGTAAGTTGATATCCTCTAGCTAGAAGTTGTTTCCTCCCCTGACCCCACCCTCACATTATGTAAGACTTAACACTGAATTAATGAGAGCTGTAAGTTGATATCCTCTATCTAGAAGTTGTTTCCTCCCCCAACCCCACCCTCACATTATGTAAGACTTAACACAGAATTAATGAGAGCTGTAAGTTGATATCCTCTAGCTAGAAGTTGTTTCCTCCCCCAACCCCACCCTCACATTATGTAAGACTTAACACTGAATTAATGAGAGCTGTAAGTTGATATGCTCTATCTAGATGTTGTATCCTCCCCCGACCCCACCCTCACATTATGTAAGACTTAACACTGAATTAATGAGAGCTGTAAGTTGATATGCTCTATCTAGATGTTGTATCCTCCCCCGACCCCACCCTCACATTATGTAAGACTTAACACTGAATTAATGAGAGCTGTAAGTTGATATGCTCTATCTAGATGTTGTATCCTCCCCCGACCCCACCCTCACATTATGTAAGACTTAACACTGAATTAATGAGAGCTGTAAGTTGATATGCTCTATCTAGATGTTGTATCCTCCCCCGACCCCACCCTCACATTATGTAAGACTTAACACTGAATTAATGAGAGCTGTAAGTTGATATCCTCTAGCTAGAAGTTGTTTCCTCCCCCAACCCCACCCTCACATTATGTAAGACTTAACACTGAATTAATGAGAGCTGTAAGTTGATATGCTCTATCTAGATGTTGTATCCTCCCCCGACCCCACCCTCACATTATGTAAGACTTAACACTGAATTAATTAGAGCTGTAAGTAAATATGCCCTATCTAGATGTTGTTTCCTCCCCCAACCCCACCCTCACATTATGTAAGACTTAACACAGAATTAATGAGAGCTGTAAGTTGATATCCTCTAGCTCGAAGTTGTTTCCTCCCCCGACCCCACACTCACATTATGTAAGACTTAACACAGAATTAATGAGAGCTGTAAGTTGATATGCTCTATCTAGCTGTTGTTTCCTCCCCCAACCCCACCCTCACATTATGTTCTGCTTAACATTAAATTAATAAGAACTGTAAGTTGATATCCTCTAGCTAGAAGTTGTTTCCTCCCCCCACCCCACCCTCACATTATGTAAGACTTAACACTGAATTAATGAGAGCTGTAAGTTGATATCCTCTAGCTAGAAGTTGTTTCCTCCCCCAACCCCACCCTCACATTATGTAAGACTTAACACTGAATTAATGAGAGCTGTAAGTTGATATGCTCTATCTAGATGTTGTATCCTCCCCCGACCCCACCCTCACATTATGTAAGACTTAACACTGAATTAATTAGAGCTGTAAGTAAATATGCCCTATCTAGATGTTGTTTCCTCCTCCAACCCCACCCTCATATCATGTAATACTTAGCACTAAATTTAATGTGAATGTTTTTAAAACAAAGCATTTACAAAAAAAAATTCCTATTGATATGATATGAGTTACTGCTCATAAACCACTGTATTTGAATATGACAGATGATTAGGAACCATAGATTGAAATCACCTGATACTTTATATTCATGTGAAAACTTTCATCAGTTTGCTAGTTCATGGATGTATGAAATCATGGATTAAGATTACCTTCAGAATAAATAATAATTAAAACCCCATAAAAAATCAATGATTCTAATAGTAAGTAGAATTTTGTGGTAGGTATCCTGATGTATATTAAATTGTTTTTAGATGGGAAGCAGTCATCACGATGCGGTCAAAGTCCCCTTCGTTCTCCTACCTAAGTCCCAGAATGAGGGCCAGTTTGCCTTCACTGTACAAAGTATCAACGTACCGCAGAAACTGAAAGGAACACTTACCTATATACTTAAGGTAAAATTTACCTACTTAATTATCCCTTGGTAGGTAGGTAGTAATTGACGGTAATATTGGAATGCAACATCATGGTCCATGTTTTAAATAATATACAAATTAGGACATATGGCATATTTGGCCGGACAGGCAAAGGTATAATATACCAGAGCCAGACTTGTGATGAAAATGATTTGAATACTTGTTTATTTCCAATGCAAGATGCTGACCATGGCACCTACATTCATGAATATTATATGAGAAAAGTATAGAAATTTATAAGATTTTCTCTTGATTGAAAAATCTTCCAACCAGAAGGACGAGGGGCTGGCGGTTCAGAATGACATCTGACCATGTTCAGGATTGTCAAACTTTTTGGAAGTAATCAAGATTTCCTTGTTAAACACACTGTTTGTACTTTCAACAAAAAAGTCACAGGTCAAATATAAGCATCATTAACCCTTTTAGAGTACATGCAAGTTGTCTCTGCCATTTGTTTGGAAATGTGTGAGTTATGATCTATTAAGACTGTGGAAAGACTTGTCCAAAGTAGATTTTCCCTGATATTCTTGACAGTTTCATATCTGTAATGAAAACTATTTGATGCACCGTTGAATTTTTTTTCAGACTGATGATGGTTCTACCCATGATAAAGTGGATTTCAAAGTAGAGTTACCATGTTGTGCTTTTCTGACCAATGTACCTTGTAGTGGGTAGGTATTCTGACACAAATCATGTTGTGAAAAATGGAGGAAAGAATAAGTGTGTCTATGCAAAGGAACTAATGTTTGGTATTGAAATTCAATATGTATATTCTAGAAACTGAAAGAAACAGTTATGTCCACTTCAACAGATGTTAAATGTTTTGTGAACTTTAAGAAAAATACCTCTGGTCATTATATATTGTTCATATTTAGTATAAGCATATTACTTCAAAAATATTTTTAGTAAAGTTCTATGGAGGAAGTCAGTATCAGGTGTATTGATGGTATCGAGAATTAGCATCAAATAAACACAAAAGGTTTGATAACAAAGCTCATGAATCAGGTCAGAACTCACCAATGTTAAATCTATATGTATAAGACCCAGATGTTGTTCACCAGGTTTAAGATGAGACTCCTAAACTGTCTCCTTTTTTTTCAGAGATGATTTTGCTTCACTTTTATCAAGTGGAGATTTAAATGCCAAATCTTCTCTCTCTGTAACACCTTCAGACACACAGTTTCATCATATATTAGCCAAAATCTGCTTTTATCAACATTTTACAGGTTGGTTTTAAAAATTATAAGTGAATTTTGATTATGTACCTGTCAGAGCATTCATTAATAAATTTATAAAATTTTATATTGTTGATGGTTTAAATTGTGTTGTGTGCTTAAGAATAAGAACTAGAATGATCGGAAGTTCTTGCAGTGTATACCTTAGTACCTACAAGTACGAGTTGTTCAATGGGACAAATATTTAAACTGAACAGCAGGCAAGGTGTATTGGAGTTTTCTTTAGATTTTCAGTAAATGTATAGTTGATTATAGCATAAATGTTTTTTCCTGAAACTAAGGATTGGTTTCTTGCAGAAATAATTTTTCTAATAAAACTTAATTTCAAGAAGTGTCAATATTTATCTATGTTGTTTACACTGTCCTGTCACTACACTGCTGCCAATCTTTTAAACAATGTCTGAAATTTGTCTGTTTCAGTCGTAGAACAAGTATCCAGTAGTGCTTCTCTGTACAGTCGATCAATACAAGGCCACCATGTATGTCTTCTAGTCAAAAAGGTAAATAACCACATGTGGTGCCATTTGCTAACTACCATCATTACGGTCTTGTATTGAAATGGTCAACACACATTAAACAGTGATAAATGTTGTCCAGGAAATGCAGTCATACCGTTTGTTTTGTGAAGTAGGAGATCCCATATCATTGCCACCAGTATCTTTTCCTGAAACTTTGATATGTCCCATTCCTGTCTAGAAGTGCTCTGGTTATTTACCGTAAGAGAAGAATTCACGTCTTATTCAAAACAATATTTGTTTTTCCCGATTTCTGAAAATTTCATGCAATAAACTTGTCATAACTTAATATATTGAAAAAAAATTACAAAGAAATATTTATTGTTCCATTTATTATGCAGAAAAACTGCTGAATTCCTATGGAAATGAGAAGAAAGTAAAAATTTCAATAGAGATGATTAGTTTGTGGAGTAGTACAGTTTTTAATGTGGAGGAAAATATTTGTTATGTTATATTTGTTGTTTTTATGACTCCATGCAAAGAAAATGTGAGAACTTTTCTTTTTTGCTTTTTTATGTGATAAACAAGTTTGGGTTTTTTTTTTTTTGTTTTATTTTATTTTAGAATTTTTAATTTGTCACCATAATAATATTTTTATATAAGCAGTGAGCAGTGTTTCTTATTTTTTGGAAAAATATTGTGAAAAAATGCACATTTGTATTTCAGCTTGAACAGCAAACTTTATGGTAGTCATTATACTCTCACTTATAATCTGCAGTTGATGGATATGCTGTAAAATAGGAACATATCAATTTATAAATTTACTTTTGTTTTGTTTTTTAGAATAATGGTGAATTGAAAGTGGACGGGAAATGTTCGGACAGCAGCCTAATTTCTAGTATTGTACAAGATATCCAGAGTACACTGGTCTAGCAGCCATGGAGTAGCGCCACAAATTTCAATCTCCAGAGATTACTGTTAATTCTCTTGTAATAATCACCAACAGCATATTCTATATAGTCTTCATCCTTTCATGATCATGATATCGGAGTCCAAACATTTTCCTTATAATTTCCCCTCCTAGTCTGTGATATTGCCCTCTGGGACTGTTTATACAGAAGAGGCTATATTTGACTGAAGCAACACAATCTCACTGGATTCACAGTGAACTTCTATTATCAGTTAATTGCATCTTAGCCTCTGTATCAAAAATTTGATACAATGTGCATTGGAACTGCTTATTTTTAATAATTACATAACAAAACATAGATGGAAAAGACTGATCATGATTTTTACTACCCTCCAGCCAATGTGAGAATCACAGACAATTTGACTAGAGTATCAAAGAAATAAACGTCATTTGATGCAACAAAATATTCTTTTTTGAGATTGGAAAAAATATTGTAGTAGTTTTATTAAAAGTGTTCAACTCTTACTATGATAATTAACATTGAGTAGTTTTCTGATAGATAAAATAAATAAATTTCTAGAGCTGAAGGGTTTATATAAAGAGTATCTCGATATTTCTGGGATTCTTTTGAGTTTTTAATTTATTTTAGTGAACTGAATCTTGAGATAATCTTATTTTTTCATTTTTGATAGCAAAGATTTGACATAATATCAACTGCTCTACTGAGAACTATTGTTTTATTTCGTAATTATTGGAAAGTTCTTTCAATGAAGTTTATTTTTAGATCATAAAAGAGTAGTTTCTGAGAAGATTATTGTCAAAGCTTGTATGCAACAGTATTTCAACTTTGTCAGAATGTTTTGATACAGTTGGTATTCTGATATTTATGTACATGGGTGCAATAATTTCACTGGGTATTGACTGTCAGATCTAGATAATTTCTGACTGACGGTATCAAAATAACAAATTCTCAATATAAGTGTTCATTACCTAGTATTACAACTTTGTTGACTCTCTGGTAGAAAAATGCAAGATTGAAAGTGAAATTGATGAGTGCAGAAAAGGTTGCATTATTATAAAAAATTAATTAAATATTAGGACTGGCACATATTATAATATAACATACTGTTTGTTTATTGTTTGCAGTATTCAGATGTAAATACAAGGCGATTCATTTTGTAAATTTCATCTTACCATTTCTCAGTCCTCCTGTTATTTTCTTTATGTTAATTTTTTTTTTAGAAAAAAACAACTGCTCTCTGTTTCTGCTTATCCCCAAAATCCTGAAAAAGACAGAATGTCTGATCATGGTGATAGCTTGTATTCTGATCTTTAGTTTGTTATATTGTCACAAATGACTTGTTTTGGGGAAGTTGGTTTTGTTGAGATGTACTTGTCTCGCACTATGTTGTTGTAATTTTTACTGCTGTTTTGTCATCCACTTTAAGGTATCGCATCAGTTCCTGAATGAAGAAGCTGTGATATAAAAATTCTGTATAACAGTTTATTTCGATATTTTTTGTCTTTATTCTGAAGTTATGTATGCGTGACATTTTTAGGTTAGTTTATGGTTTAAATATATATCTGCTTTTAGCTTCACTGCAACACTAAAGACACAACTCGGCTGACCCTTTATAGACTTTAGACCCTTGAATAAGTGGATATTGGGTATTTCTGAATATCTTAGATTCCTTCATATTGTGCTTTCTCTCCAAATCGGAGAAAGTGAATCATTCTAAAAAGTTAAAAAAAACAAACTTGCATTAGAACGGACGGAGGTATAGGTATATTACTATAGCCAAGTTCTTGGTATTAGATAGCCCAGAGCACTTTGTTTTTTGGATTGGCCTTTTTGAAGAAGTTGTAGTGACACTGTCTCTTGTCTGAGACTCCATATTTCTTTAATCTTGTATCATAAACAAATGGTTGAATGTTGATAAGTGTGTCGTTTTAGAAGTGAAATTCTAAATTATGAATGTGAATGTTGTTAATGTGTTACAGACACTTTGATATTTGTGTTTCAACATTAGTTTTAAAATAAATTTGTACGTTGGAAGGCAATTATCTCAATGGAAGTGTGCTCAGGACATCCACTTTGAATGGAAATATGTGATTTGAATGTTGAATATTATGTGGAAAAATTATATCCAAGTGTTATATTTGTATCAAATTCATTTAATTTTAATATGCATGCTCCAAGTTCTGGTAGCACTCTGAATTAATTACACATAACTCTACAGGATTAGAGTTAGTTTTCAGAAATTTTCTGGCTACTAGAATATAAAATAAGCCTTGATATGATGTGCTGCTTAAGGTTAAAATTTCAGATGTGTTTTGGTTGGAAATAAACTCTCTGAAGTACATTTGTAAGATAAGCTCAGGTAAACAGTGCCACCAGATACCTGCCAATCCCATCATATCCTGGCCGAGTGTCACAGATACTGGCCAAATATCAACAGCTACCGGCCGAGTGTCACAGATACTGGCCAAATATCACCAACTACTGGCCAAGTGTCACAGATACTGGCCAAATATCACCAGCTACCGGCCGAGTGTCACAGATACCGGCCAAGTGTTGCTAGATACTGGTCAAGTGCCACCAGATACTGGCCAGTGTCATCATATCCTGGCCGAGTGTCAGATACCAGCCAGTGCTACCAGTTACTGGCCAAATGTCACTAGCTATTGGCTAAGTGCCACCAGATATTGGTAGCTTGTCACCAGATACTGGCTAAATATTGCTAGATATTGGTTGAATGCTACCAGATACGGTGTTGCATATCTTAGAGACAGTTGAATTAATATTTTTTAAATGTAACCCTTTAGGCATAGAAATATATGCCTGGAAAGTCTGCCTATACTTATCAGAAAGCACATAATTGTTGGGAATATGAGGGAATCCCAGTTGCAACTGTTTTTCTAAAATTCATTGTAAGTTGGTTTGTGTGGTAAGTTAGGCAGGCTGAAAAGCACTTCCTTCCAAGTAGCATATGTATTCAGAATGTATAAATGGTGTAAAAATTTATTTTTCTGAATATCAGAGGTACAATTTATTATACGGTCTGTGATCACTGACCCATCAGGTTGTATAAATTGTGTGTTGAGATTTGCCATGATAGTAGTAAATTATGATGAGAGATTGTGTCAGTAGGTATCAGCTTACAGAACGCTTGGACTTGAATGTAATATCTACACATCATCTGTTAAGATACAGCAGGAATTCATCTAATTAAATGCTGTGTACATGAATACAATTCATTCTTTGTTGTTATTTGTCTCACATGGATCTGCAGTTGTGAATAAAAACACAATTAATTAAGCTACCTGTTGTCCAATTTAAAGAGTTACCGTGAGGGTATTTTGTCACCATGCAGTGATCAACCCTGCTCTGAATATCCAAATTCTAAGCAGACACTTGTATAAAGCTGTCATTTTGTCAGCAGACCATCCAGTTCAGGACCTCCATAAATTCAGAAGATATTGTTACAAATGGCATTACTAAGGCATTGGTGATTAACTCGGTCTGTGACCTACTATTTCTAATAACCCTTAAACTTAGCTATGTACCCAGTCTGATGGACCCTCTTCAGGACCTCACAGCCTCTGATTTTTAACTACCCAAGTTTATATTGCTTATTTAGCTACCGGCATCATGAATGAATAAACTTAATTCACTTTCAAGATCACAGGAGAAAGGGGTCAAATGTATTAAGATATTCAAATGAGTTCTCAATAACCAAAAGACCCAGTGTTGAGAAGCAAAGTGGAATAAAAAAAATGATTTAAAAAAAAAAGAATTTAAAAAAAAAAATTGGTCCAATGATTGATCTCGACTCTCTTTCATCGTATCAGTGCTTATCTTTGCTTATGATAATTTCCAACAAAGTTGAAAGCGTTGTCAACTCCATCCTGTTTGCTATATTTTATCCAGGTGAGTGATACAGGACCTCTGTGCCTTTTTATATTTTTAAAAGATAAGTATTCAATACATATATGACATCTGTAAATTTTTTTTATTGAAATAATTTCTTGAACTTTTTACTTGTTCTTTACACATAAGTTGATAATCGTTAATACATATTTTTCAAGTCCGTGTTTACAAACGGAGTCACTAGTTCTGTCACAGTTGTCTCCCTTGGTCGTTATAATCATGAGTGGGAACGGACTTCGCTTTCTCAAACAAGTCGTGGAAGCAGGGACGAAATGTAAAGGATTTGAATCTATATTGGACAAGGTATATACTGTGAATAAATTATTTGCTTTATGTGTAGAGACAGTCTGTAGTAGGTTTGGATATCTACAGCGCTAACTAAATTTGAGCCGGATACTGTGTACTTTCAGTATTGGGATCAACGGACATGATCAGAGCTGTAAGCCAGCTGGTTTCACAGTACTCATTTTTAACTTATGTCAAACAAGTCTTGCGAGTTAAAATAGATGAAACTGAACTGCATTGCAAAGACGTTTTAGTCACTTAATTCAAAGGTAGAAAGTACTATCTCCGCTGACAACGATTACCTCCCTTGTTATTTAACGAAAATATTGCATGATTCCACACTTAGCGGGAATTCATATATTTTTTATTTTCACTTTTTTCCTTTAAATTAGTTTCCTTTTTAAATCTAGATATCGTTTAATTATATGTCAGTTTGAAATGCAAACGAATTTTATTTTGTATCTAATTGTAATATATGAAAGTGTTTTTTTTAAGTATTTCAAGGTTTCAAGTATTGAAGATGCACATCATTTCTTTTTTGAATGCATTAATTATGCCGATCAACGTTTACAGTTGTATCGTGAGCTAAATGATTTCATCCCACTGGACCTGCACCTTCTGTTATTTGGAAATTCTCATTTGTCTAAACAGGAAAATGAAACTTTGTCAATCAACCCAACTGTATATTAAAAATACTAATAGATTTAATTAGACATTATTTCATAGTAATTTTATATTTGGTCTTTCCTGACTCGGGTGACATATGTTTGAGAAAAGTTATTCCAGAAGGACCAGCAAGTGACAAGGAGAAAGACATCGGTGGCACGGGATGTGATATACAATAGATAGGTTTGAACGACAAGAACAGTGGATCAGTATTTATAATGGTGATTGTCACCCGATTCGGGTTAGACAACATTACTTATTGTTCTTAGCAGAGACGTATATAACACATGTGTTATATACGTCTCTGTTCTTAGTAAGAATTATATGTAGTCTTCAATACGTATATGTTGTTTTTGTAACACTCTCTCTCTCTCTCTCTGTTTATGATTGTATATATATGTATATATAACAATAGGCCATCATCAACATTTATATTAAATACTAATTAGTTGGAACGGGCTTAGTATGAGTTGGAAAATTTGTGCCCAATCCTTTATGTATATTTATATGCAATAAAATATGTTTAAATCATTAAAAGATGGGATTGATATTGTGGAAGAACAGGGAAAATACACCTCCCAGTGGAGTGTCGTATATAGCACTGTAAACAATCTACACCAACCCACTTCTATCACAATATAAGTCCATAGATTACTTTCCTACCCCATAAATATCATATGTATGTTAAATGATTTAATATTGAATAAAAATATTGTTAAATCAAAGTATACTAAATTGCCTCATTACACAATGTGCAGAATGTGAGTTCAGTGTTGCTAACCCACCAGATTTCGTAAAATAAACCTTGTATTGACCATATCAAATCTAACCAAATTATAGAACTATCTGATATTTCTTTCCTTTTGATCAAAATCTTTGTTCAGAAATAACATTTAACATTGTCTTAATAAAAACAGATACTATGAATATACAATGGTGTTAATTGTGAAGTCCTTTTCAATGACAGCTCTGTAATATCCTCCATCTACTTTGAATTTAAGAAGTTATTCCCAGATATTAGATGGCTGGAGGCCAGCGACACTGTAAGTTTAAGTGTTCAGTAATATATTGTACAAGTAAGCAGATTGATACTGTTTCCTAACCGTTACCATGGAGACTGGTTGTAGACCTCCATCCCTCTCCCATATACCATGGAGACTGGTTGTAGACCTCCATCCCTCTCCAATATATGTACACGTTTCAGGTCAAAGTCACTGCTGGTTCCTCAAAATCACTTAAGTTTCAGTTGACAAATACAGCCTGCTAGTAACTGACCTATTTCCATCATCGGTCATGATATATAGAACCTGGAGTAAACCAGACGCCTGCTAGTAACTGACCTATTTCCATCATCGGTCATGATATATAGAACCTGGAGTAAACCAGACGCCTGCTAGTAACTGACCTATTTCCATCATCGGTCATGATATATAGAACCTGGAGTAAACCAGACGCCTGCTAGTAACTGACCTATTTCCATCATCGGTCATGATATATAGAACCTGGAGTAAACCAGACGCCTGCTAGTAACTGACCTATTTCCATCATCGGTCATGATGATATATAGAACCTGGAGTAAACCAGACGCCTGCTAGTAACTGACCTATTTCCATCATCGGTCATGATATATAGAACCTGGAGTAAACCAGACGCCTGCTAGTAACTGACCTATTTCCATCATCGGTCATGATATATAGAACCTGGAGTAAACCAGACGCCTGCTAGTAACTGACCTATTTCCATCATCGGTCATGATGATATATAGAACCTGGAGTAAACCAGACGCCTGCTAGTAACTGACCTATTTCCATCATCGGTCATGATATATAGAACCTGGAGTAAACCAGACGCCTGCTAGTAACTGACCTATTTCCATCATCGGTCATGATATATAGAACCTGGAGTAAACCAGAAGCCTGCTGGTAACCGACCTATTCTCATTGGTTGCAATTACACAGATTTCCTCAGTAAGATCCCAATATTTCTGCAAGCGATTTTCAATAAATGAAATAATTTGTTTGTAATACTGGTAAGTGAATGTTCATATAAATAAACATTTTCCTAAGCATTGGCAAGAATGGGTACTTAATGAGAAACAGGAAGTATTTGTCAAGTTTTCACACACTTTGCCATGATAATGATTTCAAGGTCAAAGTTAATTCTTTTTCATCAGATGACAGATTTTTGTTCAAGGTCAAAGTTGTTTTTCATCTGATAATGATTTATTGTTCAAGGTCATACTTACTATAGTCATGCTTTTTTTGTTCAAGGTCAAAGTTGTTTCTGGTGGAAATGGAAAGTTGGTGTGTGAGATGACGGTTACAGAGGACCATCAAAATCGTTTAGGCACCCTACACGGAGGAATGACAGCTGCACTTGTGGACGCAGTGTCCACCTGGGCCCTGTTGACCACCGAGCGACAGGTAGCAGGTGTTAGTGTGGACATGAGTATTTCGTAAGTTACTTTTGAACTGATGTTGAAGCAGACACTTGAGATTTAAAACAGTTTTAATTGTATTGCATCAAATCAATCATATTTATGAATATAAAAATCTGGTATAAAGTTCATTTCCATGTAACACATCAAGTTATTACCGTATTTTTCCATATTTTAAGCACATTTCCTTATGAGTCTGGCATGCAGCTTATATTCAGTAATAACTAATGTGTGGATCAAATAAAAGAAAAATCATTAAAAATCGGCTCTGCAGTCTATGTACTGGTGTGACTGATAACCTAGTAATTTCAGTACTTAGTCAATGTGACTGATAACCTAGTAATTACAGTACTTAGTCAATGTGACTGATAACCTAGTAATTACAGTACTTAGTCAATGTGACTGATAACCTAGTAATTACAGTACTTAGTCAATGTGACTGATAACCTAGTAATTACAGTACTTAGTCAATGTGACTGATAACCTAGTAATTACAGTACTTAGTCAATGTGACTGATAACCTAGTAATTACAGTACTTAGTCAATGTGACTGATAACCTAGTAATTACAGTACTTAGTCAATGTGACTGATAACCTAGTAATTACAGTACTTAGTCAATGCAACTTATAACCTAGTAATTACAGTACTTAGTCAATGTGACTGATAACCTAGTAATTACAGTACTTAGTCAATGTGACTGATAACCTAGTAATTACAGTACTTAGTCAATGTGACTGATAACCTAGTAATTACAGTACTTAGTCAATGTGACTGATAACCTAGTAATTACAGTACTTAGTCAATGTGACTGATAACCTAGTAATTACAGTACTTAGTCAATGTGACTGATAACCTAGTAATTACAGTACTTAGTCAATGCGTGATAACCTAGTAATTACAGTACTTAGTCAATGCAACTTATAACCTAGTAATAACAGTACTTAGTCAATGTGACTGATAACCTAGTAATTACAGTACTTAGTCAATGTGACTGATAACCTAGTAATTACAGTACTTAGTCAATGTGACTGATAACCTAGTAATTACAGTACTTAGTCAATGCAACTTATAACCTAGTAATAACAGTACTTAGTCAATGCGACTGATAACCTAGTAATTACAGTACTTAGTCAATGCAACTTATAACCTAGTAATAACAGTACTTAGTCAATGCGACTGATAACCTAGTAATTACAGTACTTAGTCAATGTGACTGATAACCTAGTAATTACAGTACTTAGTCAATGTGACTTATAACCTAGTAATTACAGTACTTAGTCAATGCGACTTATAACCTAGTAATTACAGTACTTAGTCATTTGAGTAAATGTTGCAAAAGGATCAAGCAATACACCACCAACTATTCTGATTTGTAAATATAACCTGGACGGCAAAAGTTGATAATACTAATAACTTTGACAGGCCATGAAATGTTGTAACAACATTAGTCATTTTTTTCAAAAAAATTACATACCTGGTAATAGGCTAGTTTCCTCCATTGTTTTCTTAATAAAATGAATACAAACTTTGTGAAATTGCATGGTTTTGTCTACTCCCAAAAATTTGCCATTTACTCCACAGTTTCAATGGTAAATCTGTTAAAGTATAATCATGATATACTTCATACCTGTTATCATTTTTCTTTTTTTCATTTTCATCAGGTACATGAAGGCAGCTAAAGTTGGGGAGGACATTCTGATTGAGGCAAATTCCACCAAAGTTGGAAAGACCTTAGCCTTCTTGAATGTGGATATAAGAAAGAAGAGTGATGGAGCTTTACTAGCACAAGGCAAACATACCAAGTTTGTAGGCAGCTAGTACATGCCTCCGGGACTAATGCAGACATGAACATTATTGGGAAGAAGTTGGATAATCTCAGTATGATTGCTACCATACAAACATCCACATTCTGATGAATTTAGTCATAAAACAGTGATGTATTTGTTTTCTGTATGTTTTTAGTTACTAGTAAATGTACATGAGTTAATATGTTATGAGCATTTTGGTTATTAAAGTATTTCTCAGTTTGGTGGCTCTTGAATATCATCATAAAACAAATATTTCCTTGTCTTCAGAGTTATCTCCCTTATCAAGGACATACATGCATGCACGTAAACACACACACACATATATATGTACGTCTCTGCTTTGAGTCGTTAATTTTTTACATATGTCAATTTCATATTCTGTAATAGAAATGGGTCAATGTGGCATGTATACAGTGTTAAAAACGGTCTCTGTCGCTCAGCTGATGGAGCATGCTTCTTTGGTTCAGTAACCAGAGCCGGTCGATCATCACACCGGAGACCCAAGTTTGATTTCTGGCGGAGGCACTTGACAGGAATGTGTATTTTCCCTGTCCTGTTACAATTCAGTAATGAAAGAAAATTTAACAAATTTTCAAATGAGAAGAAATTGTATAAAAAGGAATTATTGACTAGCACATGTACAAAATGGTGACAATAGATGTAACTAAATTGGATAATGCCGAGACCAAAGCTAATTAGGACTTTGGTCAAGTAAGTTAATAAAAACACACCACAATTTTCATAAACTGATATATGTATTATCAAAAATAAATTTTTGTATATTACAATATATTAACATTTCATGAAAAAGTGGACTTAAATGAGGGCTACAAACGAATAGATCAACTACAACTACCTAAACATTGATTAATAGTTGTTCTTGTGTTAAGAAACTCTTTAGAAAAGGAGGTCGTTTTAGACAATATCAATGAGGCCAATTCTGTAAACCATCTAGAATGGCAACAAATATCAACATTATAATATTTTCTCCAGGTGATTTTGGAATATAAATTTTCTGCAAATGGACATTTGAACCTATGATTCCTCGTTATTGAAGACTGAGAGAAAACAAAAACAATACAGTGATGAATGTTCACACAGAATATTTGCAGAATTTGAAAAAAAAATTAATTTTTATCTTTTTTTTCTCAGACATGTTTTTGCTGCTACACATGTAACATACTGACAAGATTTATATCTTTTTAACTCCTGCAAACAAGACTCATAGAAGGGGAATAACTCCTCCACAATCACACTAACTCCTATTATTTGGTAATCCATGTTACACAAACAATGTTCTCAAGAAAATTACAATACACAAATAAAATCATCCCTGTCACAGGGGCACATATAATTAATCAATATTAAAACATGTTGATTTCTCTGTTCAACCAGCTACCAATGAGTTCTGATAGACTATTCACAGAACTGTAGTGTTAATGGCACACAAACAACCTTAACACCAAATATCTAATTAGACAACACTTATTTTGCCATTGCATAATTTTTATAAGGAGTTGTATAGTTTTCAACAGAATTCCTACCAGACATTTCAGACATACACTTTAACCAAACCTCAGGATCTTTCACTTTTCCATACAAACAACTTTCAATAGTGTCAACCCAAACTTGCACACTTGCTAGATCCGTCTCTTTCTTAAGAAGCTGGAATGCATTAAAGTTGTTTTCCTTCAGAACACTGACCAGCTGACCGAGCAGTTTGATGCCCCCTTCAATACGGTCCTGAAAGGCGCGATGTCCTGTCCACATCTCGTACATCATGATTCCCACCGAGTACATGTCATGCTGAATGGTATACACAGTTTTGTCTGGTTGGTTCATCAGTCGTCCGTCAAAGTGGACATATTTGAGTACAGGAGACCCATCTGGTGGAAACAATGTGACTGGTAGCTTCCTAGGCATTGTTAGGTTAACAAGCTTCACCTTACGATGTACATCTACCTGTAAGACATGTTACCTAAGAAATGATTATTGTATGTCTTACTATGTTACGCATGGTTTGTTCTATGTATATTATAAACTTTTTTTTATCATTTCCCCTTTATATATGGTTGTTTGTATGTATATATGGTTGTTTGTATGTATATATGGTTGTTTGTATGTATATATGGTTGTTTGTATGTGTATATGGTTGTTTGTATGTGTATATGGTTGTTTGTATGTGTATATGGTTGTTTGTATGTGTATATGGTTGTTTGTATGTATATATGGTTGTTTGTATGTATATATGGTTGTTTGTATGTGTATATGGTTGTTTGTATGTGTATATGGTTGTTTGTATGTATATATGGTTGTTTGTATGTGTATATGGTTGTTTGTATGTATATATGGTTGTTCGTATGTGTATATGGTTGTTTGTATGTATATATGGTTGTTTGTATGTATATATGGTTGTTTGTATGTGTATATGGTTGTATGTATGTATATATGGTTGTTGGTATGTGTATATGGTTGTTTGTATGTGTATATGGTTGTTTATATGTGTATATGGTTGTTTGTATGTGTATATATGGTTGTTGGTATGTATATATGGTTGTTTGTATGTGTATATGGTTGTTGATATGTGTATATGGTTGTTTGTATGTATATATGGTTGTATGTATATATGTGTATGTGTATATGGTTGTTTGTATGTGTATATGTTTGTATATATATGGTTGTTGTATATGTATGTGTATATGGTTGTGTTGTATGTATGTGTATATGGTTGTTTGTATGTATATATGGTTGTTTGTATGTGTATATGGTTGTTTGTATGTGTATATATGGTTGTTTGTATGTGTATATGGTTGTTTGTATGTGTATATGGTTGTTTGTATGTGTGTATATGGTTGTATGTATGTATATATGGTTGTTGATATGTGTATATGGTTGTTTGTATGTGTATATATGGTTGTTTGTATGTGTATATGGTTGTTTGTATGTGTATATATGGTTGTTTGTATGTGTATATGGTTGTTTGTATGTGTATATGGTTGTTTGTATGTAAATATATGGTTGTTTGTATGTGTATATGGTTGTTTGTATGTGTATATATGGTTGTTTGTATGTATATATATGTTTGTTGTTTGTATGTGTGTATATATGGTATATATGTTTTGTATGTGTATATGGTTGTTTGTATGTGTATATATGGTTGTTTGTATGTGTATATATGGTTGTTTGTATGTGTATATGGTTGTTTGTATGTGTATATATGGTTGTTTGTATGTGTATATGGTTGTTTGTATGTGTATATGGTTGTTGGTATGTGTATATATGGTTGTTTGTATGTGTATATGGTTGTTGGTATGTGTATATGGTTGTTTGTATGTGTATATGGTTGTTTGTATGTGTATATGGTTGTTTGTATGTGTATATATGGTTGTTTGTATGTGTATATGGTTGTTGATATGTGTATATGGTTGTATGTATATGTATATGGTTGTTGGTATGTATATATGGTTGTTTGTATGTATATGGTTGTTTGTATGTGTATATGGTTGTTTGTATGTGTATATGGTTGTTGGTATGTGTATATGGTTGTTTGTATGTGTATATATGGTTGTTGTATGTGTATATGTTGTTTGTATATGGTTGTGTGTATATGGTTGTATGTATGTATATATGGTTGTTTGTATATGTATATATGGTTGTTGTATGTGTATATGGTTGTTTGTATGTGTATATGGTTGTTTGTATATGTATTTGTATGTGTGTATATGTATGTTGTTTGTATGTGTGTATATGGCTGTATGTATGTATATATGGTTGTTGATATGTGTATATGGTTGTTTGTATGTGTATATATGGTTGTTTGTATGTGTATATATGGTTGTTTGTATGTGTGTATATGGTTGTATGTATGTATATATGGTTGTTGATATGTGTATATGGTTGTTTGTATGTGTATATATGGTTGTTTGTATGTGTATATGGTTGTTTGTATGTGTATATGGTATATGGTTGTTGGTATGTATGGTTGTTTGTATGTATATATAGTTGTTGATATGTGTATATGGTTGTTTGTATGTGTATATATGGTTGTTTGTATGTGTATATGGTTGTATGTATGTATATATGGTTGTTTGTATGTATATATGGTTGGTGGTATGTGTATATGGTTGTTTGTATGTGTGTATATGGTTGTATGTATGTGTATATGGTTGTTTGTATGTATATATGGTTGTTTGTATGTGTATATGGTTGTTTGTATGTGTATATGGTTGTTTGTATGTAAATATATGGTTGTTTGTATGTGTATATATGGTTGTTTGTATGTATATATGGTTGTTTGTATGTATATATGGTTGTTTGTATGTATATATAGTTGTTGATATGTGTATATGGTTGTTTGTATGTGTATATATGGTTGTTTGTATGTGTGTATATGGTTGTATGTATGTATATATGGTTGTTGATATGTGTATATGGTTGTTGTTTGTATGTGTATATGGTTGTTTGTATGTGTATATATGGTTGTTTGTATGTGTATATGGTTGTTTGTATGTGTATATGGTTGTTTGTATGTGTATATGGTTGTTGGTATGTGTATATGTTTGTTTGTATGTGTATATGGTTGTTTGTATGTATATATGGTTGTTTGTATGTGTATATGGTTGTAAGTATGTATATATGGTTGTTAATACAAGAGAGTAACAATTATCAATATTTTTTGGTGTTCAAATATGTTGGTACAATATCTTGATTCAAAAGAAAAACAAATAATAAATTTTCCTGATTGAAAGATCATTGTTGTGTATCTTGTCAATTTCATGCAGGTGATGTGGTAATAAAACCACTTCAACTTCATTAAAAAACATTATATTTACTACATTTATTTCCTTAAGAATATTTGAAAGCCAATAAAAAAAATTCTTCCTAAGATTTCAGCACTGATTTGTCATGTTATTGAATACAATATGGCACCAGGAGGGTTGAAATGGCTTTCTGGGGTTGAGAACTGTGCTATGTTTTGAGCTTTTAGTGGTGTAATGCTTAATGTTTACATCACAGCAGACAAACCTGGTCGTATGGTTGGAAGGGGTATTACATAACTGTGATATTGACTTACATAGGGTACTGAAAGTCTTAGTTCTAGCTATCTACCAGGGTTAACATATTGGCACTATTTCTATTAGCATGATATATAGATGTTTTTATATGTTACTTAATACAAAATACATGTTAACATAAAGGCTTCTCAACATCCAGGAACATTTGTTGTAGTCTATTTATGGACTAATTCGTCGACATGTTTCGACCACTATGCAGCCGTCATCAGGACAAATTTACAGGACATAAAGACATATGAAGTATAACTTTGCAGTTATAAAGAAAATTGTGACGTAATAATGGACAGACATAACAATTCTTATACTGACGTTAATTTTACAGTTCTTGTGAATTTTTTGAGAGAAAGTTTATGAAATAGATAAAAAAACTCCCGATATTTTGTTGGATTGAGTATTTATACCATCAAAATACATGTTAGAAGTCATTCTGACAAATGAAATGCCCCTCGTACATTTTAGTGTTTCAATAGTGGGCTCTTTCTGCATTACATTGATGCTGATTCTTTCCAAACAAATGTGTGGAGGGATGTTGTACCCTTATAGATTTATTAAATGATTCTGTGAAACTATTACCATGATAGTGTCCAGTGACAGGTCCATATGAACGTAGCCTCTCTGATTAAGGTAACCAAGGCCTTTAACCACATCTTCAGCCAAATGGAATAGATAGCGAGGTTTTTCCAGAGAGGACACTGGACTTGATAAGTGTTTACGCAGACAGTGCTGGAGAGGCTGCATCACCTGGGAGATCTTTGTTGCTGTCTTCACACATCCAAGGGTATGAACCAGTGTACTAAACCTACAAGTCCCGAGACATGAAGGTCACTTTCATGTACAAATAAGAATCTACGTATGAAATTTAACAAAGATCCATCCAATACTTGTCAATCAGAAACACATTTTCTTAGTCTAAATCCAAGATGGCAACCTGTCAGCCATTTTGTTTTTCTTATTAGTCCGAACATTAAATATGACACTTGAGGACCGAGGGAAATCTTCAGAAATTTGATCCATCAAGTACATCTCAAGAAGTAGCAGTAATAAGTCATTTTTAAGGATGGACAAGAGATAGACAATGGCCATGAACCTGACAAAGGGCGTTCTGAAAGCTAACAATACAAAGGTTTTCTAAGCCTTACCTGTATGCTTTATCATCGTTGAGAACCTGTCTGATGTTGCTGGCATCCACAGCTACCTTACTGTGACGTACAGCGACAGTTGTGTAACCCTGTATCCTGGAGGTTTCTTTCACCTTGGCCTCCATGATGTAAGATAAACAGCCTTCTGATACCATCCCTGATTCCACCAAGTCTGACTCCATGATGATATCCTTGGTGTGCGGTTTGTGCAAATGCATTAAAAAGAAGAAGAGTGTTCTTCCTTCAAGTTTTCGGAATTTTTCTATGACAGGTGCAAATTTGATTTTGAATGCATCAGCCTCCTTCTTGTTTTCTTCTGCTTCCTCTATCATTTTCAAATCAGCCTCTACCTCATTGGTTAAGCTGACCCGCTGGTTTTTCAAGTAGCCAAAGAGAGGCTGAACTTCTTTGATCATGAGCGGACCTAGATTGAATGGATCAACAACTGACCTCAACACACTCTCGGCATACTTTCGCACTGCCATCTCTTGCTGCTTCTTGTCTGAACTATCAAAAGTAGACTGCAGTGTCAGTTGTGTGATTTTACGCTTCAACTCTACAAATGTATATACTGGTAGGCGAAGGATGGCACCTAGCAGAAGCACGGGAGCCATTCCTACACCTACAAGTACCTTGAATCCCATGTCCAAGGTTTCAAATCGCCTGGCAACAGAGAGTGGGATGAAAGGCTCATCCTCTTTTTCTAGCACTGTCCAGTTACCACGATCCTGAAATTTTTTCTCTGTCTTAGATATCTGAGCACCAAAGTTGGGGAAGTTTTCACGAAATTCCTCTCCAATTTCTTTACTGGCTTTATCAAGAAGACCATTCTTCCTTTCCCACTTCTGGATTTGACTGGTGATTTGAGTGTACAACTCTGCCCGGGTACAAATCATGGCTTCTTTCCATGTCTGAGCTCGAACAGCTTTTTCGTATTTTGCAACATCACATATATCTTCCATAATTTCTTCCTGTATCAAAAATTTGCTGAGGTCCTCAGAAATTTCAAAAATTTTGCGTTTAAGTTTCTTCTTTTGCTCTTTGAAAAATATTTTGATTCCTTCTTTGATTTCCAAAAATTTGGCTTTGTGTCTTTCAATATCTTTCTTCCTGTCTTCCTCCGTCATTCCATCTTTTGGAAGTCTTGTATCGATGCAGAATATACATTTGTCTAAGAAATTTAACAACAATCTGAAATTGAAACAGCAAGAACAAATAAACACAAGATTAAACACTAGATCAATATGTGAAGCCTAATTACAATAAAGATATAAAGAAAATTGAATTCATCGAACCATACCACAGCATGGCTTCTAGAACAGTGAAACAAAGGTTCTTCTACAGTTTTAATTCACAAATCACCAAAAAGTTTGTGCACACAGTATCTAGTACACATTTTATAAAGTTTGATAAAAACAAGCAATCAAAGGCTCATTAAAACCGATCTGTGATTATACAAGTCATTTTTTTATTTGACAGTTTTCAACACACCACTGGACCTTGCATTTAACAGTTGTATTGGTTCACAAGTTTTACTGGTGTGCCTTGGGCAACAAAAACTACCAGTATACGGAGACATACATCACAGAGCCTAATCCATACTGGCTAGGTCTCCGTGTAACAAACAAAACACTTAACATTTACCCAAGTATATATTTTTTGTTTACAAAATAATAGAAAAAGTGAGGGTAATACAGAAATTAATAAAAATAATATTTCCTCTCTGATGAGATTTAAATGATTCATTACCGAGACAAAAAAGATGTCCATTTACATAATGTATATATAATATGCGTCCGCACACTAAGGCTGGTCATGTGTGGCACTTTGTAAACTTTGTTAAGGTTATTAGTATTCAGTCTGTATCGAAATGATTTACCTATGTCCAACCTCTAGATTTGTTGTTTAATAAGGAAATATATTTGTATTCTTATATATTTAGAAAATTAATAAAACCTATCTAACACTTATCTATAAGTCATTTCTAAATTTATATCAACCATGATAGAATTGCAGACAGAACTTCACAACGTGCATACAGATGTACGATAGCTTATTTATCCAGTTTTCCTCCAAAATTTACATTGTGCACGCATAGCACCTCGTGTATTGTACTGCCTGACAGACGCTGCAGCAGCATGGCTTCTACAGCAGTGAGGCAAGACTCCAAAAATATACTGTCCGCCAGATTCTATACTAATTTTTTTCACTTTCACTGAAAAAAAAATGGATAACATAAACTTTTAAACATTTAATGGAATTTTGTTAATTATTTGTGAAGTAGAGCAAGAGAAGAGAAATGAGTAAAGAGGGGAGTGTGAAGTGGAATGAGTAAAGAGGGGAGTGTGAAGTGGAATGAGTAAAGAGGGGAGTGTGAAGTGGAATGAGTAAAGAGGGGAGTGTGAAGTGGAATGAGTAAAGAGGGGAGTGTGAAGTGGAATGAGTAAAGAGGGGAGTGTGAAGTGGAATGAGTAAAGAGGGGAGTGTGAAGTGGAATGAGTAAAGAGGGGAGTGTGAAGTGGAATGAGTAAAGAGGGGAGTGTGAAGTGGAATGATTAAAAAGGGGAGTGTGAAGTGGAATGAGTAAAGAACAGAGTGTTAAGTATAATGAGTAAAGAGGAATATGTTTAGTGGAATGAGAAAAGAGGAGTGTGTTTAGTGGAATGAGTAAAGAGGAGTGTGTTTAGTGGAATGAGTAAAGAGGAGTGTGTTTAGTATAATGAGTAAAGAGGAGTGTGTTTAGTATAATGAGTAAAGAGGAATATGTTTAGTGGAATGAGAAAAGAGGAGTGTGTTTAGTATAATGAGTAAAGAGGAGTGTGTTTAGTGGAATGAGTAAAGAGGAGTGAGTTTAGTGGAATGAGTAAAGAGGAGTGTGTTTAGTGGAATGAGTAAAGAGGAGTGTGTGTGAAGTGGAATAGTAAAGAGGGGAGTGTGTTTAGTGGAAATGAGTAAAGAGGAGTGTGTTTAGTGGAATGAGTAAAGAGGAGTGTGTTTAGTGGAATGAGTAAAGAGGAGTGTGATGTGGAATGAGTAAAGAGGGGAGTGTGAAGTGGAATGAGTAAAGAGGAGAGTGTGAAGTGGAATGAGTAAGAGAGGAGTGTGATGTGGAATGAGTAAAGAGGTGTGAGTGTGAAGAGGAGTGTGTTTAGTGGAAAGAGGGGAGTGTGTTTGTGGAATGAGTAAAGAGGAGTGTGAAGTGGAATGAGTAAAGAGGAGTGTGTTTAGTGGAATGAGTAAAGAGGAGTGTGTTTAGTGGAATGAGTAAAGAAAGAGGAGTGTGTTTAGTATAATGAGTAAAGTGTGAAGTGGAATGAGTAAAGAGGGGAGTGTGAAGTGGAATGAGTAAAGAGGAGTGTGTTTAGTATAATGAGTAAAGAGGAGTGTGTTTAGTGGAATGAGTAAAGAGGAGTGTGTTTAGTGGAATGAGTAAAGAGGAGTGTGTTTAGTGGAATGAGTAAAGAGGAGTGTGTTTAGTGGAATGAGTAAAGAGGAGTGTGTTTAGTGGAATGAGTAAAGAGGAGTGTGTTTAGTGGAATGAGTAAAGAGGAGTGTGTTTTGTGGAATGAGTAAAGAGGAATGAGTTTAGTGGAATGAGAAAAGAGGAGTGTGTTTAGTGGAATGAGTAAAGAGGAGTGTGTTTAGTGGAATGAGTAAAGAGGAGTGAGTTTAGTGGAATGAGTAAAGAGGAGTGTGTTTAGTGGAATGAGTAAAGAGGAGTGTGTTTAGTGGAATGAGAAAAGAGGAGTGTGTTTAGTGGAATGAGTAAAGAGGAGTGTGTTTAGTGGAATGAGTAAAGAGGAGTGTGTTTAGTGGAATGAGTAAAGAGGAGTGTGTTTAGTGGAATGAGTAAAGAGGAGTGTGTTTAGTGGAATGAGTAAAGAGGAGTGTGTTTAGTGGAATGAGTAAAGAGGAGTGTGTTTAGTGGAATGAGTAAAGAGGAGTGTGTTTAGTGGAATGAGAAAAGAGGAGATTTCACAGAAAAATAAGATCATTTGGTCATGACCATTACAAGATCATCCATGGCTAGTTTGAAATGAATTCCAACTGCACTGAAGAAGAAGTTAATATGTGAAATGTTTAAGGTGGATGGTGCATGACAATGAACAAGAAAGATGCCTAAAGTTCATCCTGGTCAAAGGTCAGAAGACCTAATAATTCTCCAAATGAAAAAAAACCCACTCTAATCTCACCTTGTTGAATTGACAAGAAAAATCTCTCTACTTTTGGGAACAAGTCTGAGAATCTCTTCCAGGAGGAGGGAAAATTGACCATAGACATAGTGGGGATGCTCCTTTTGAACATAGCTGGCCTCTGTTGTAGAAATACAGAATATCTGTGATGTCTTACAGTCTGGCCACCCGGTGTTACAAGTCAGCTTCTTAACAGTGTCTTCACATACATCCGTCCTCTCAGCTATAGGCACCTAGCACACAATTTGATGTAAGAATGAACAGTTTGCAGTACAGAATACCACTAACATATATACTACCATACCTACAATGATAGTGTTTCTACACTAACACTCAGGTTATGGGTCAGTCATAGCAAGATAAACAAGGTTAAGAGATAGACAAACAAATTGTACAAATTTTGATATCCACATCTAGACTTGAACTTTTAACATACCATGCCTATGGTCCAAGATCTCCAGACCTAAGACCTTATATCTCTGGACCTGGGACCTTGTATCTCCAGAACTAAGACCATTGATCTCTAGACCTGGGACCTTGTATCTCCAGACCTAGAACCTTAGATCTCTAGACCTGGCACCTTGTATCTCCAGATCTAAGGCCTTAGATATCTAGACCTGGGGCCTTGTATCTCCAGACCTAGAACCTTAGATCTCTAGACCTGGTACCTTGTATCTCCAGACCTAAGGCCTTAGATCTCTAGACCTGGGACCTTGTATCTCCAGACCTAGAACCTTAGATCTCTAGACCTGGTACCTTGTATCTCCAGACCTAAGGCCTTAGATATCTAGACCTGGGACCTTGTATCTCCAGACCTAGAACCTTAGATGTCTAGACCTGGGACCTTGTATCTCCAGACCTAGAACCTTAGATCTCTGGACCTGGGACCTTGTATCTCCAGACCTAGAACCTTAGATCTCTAGACCTGGTACCTTGTATCTCCAGACCTAAGGCCTTAGATATCTAGACCTGGGGCCCTCCAGACCTAGAACCTTGATCTCTAGACCTCTCCAGACCTAAGGCCTTAGATCTCTAGACCTGGGACCTTGTATCTCCAGACCTAGGACCTTAGATCTCTAGACCTGGTACCTTGTATCTCCAGACCTAAGACCTTTGATCTCTAGACCTGGGACCTCAGATTCCCAGACCTAGGACCCTAGAGCACCAGATCTTGAGCCCAGGACCTCCAAACCAGGGTGCCTTATACCTCTATACCTCGGATCTGGGATTTCCATACTTAGGATTAGATCTTCAGACAAAGGACTAAAGATCTCTGAATTTCAGACCTTGGATCTCCATACCTAGGGTGTTAGACCCCTAAATGTCTGGAGTATATGCCAAGATTGAAAACATCAGATTTCCAAACCTTAGATCTTAGATCACCAGACTGCCAATCATAGATCTCAGAAAAAGACAGCAGAATTAAAGACCCCATCATTACAGAACTAAGACCTCAAAGCTACAGAACTAAAACCCTGAACTACAGAACTAAGACCCTCAACTACAGAACTCAGACCCTGAACTACAGAACTAAGACCCTCAACTACAGAACTCAGACCCTGAACTACAGAACTCAGACCCTGAACTACAGAACTCAGACCCTGAACTACAGAACTCAGACCCTGAACTACACAACTAAGACCCTGAACTATAGAACTAAGACAGTGAAATACAGAACAAAGACCCTGATCTACAGAACTAAGACCTCTGAACTACAGAACTAAGACCTCTGAACTACAGAACTAAGACCTCTAAGCTATAGAACTAAGACCTTTGAACTATAGAACTAAGACCCTGATCTACAGAACTAAGTCATGTTTTCCTACATTTCACATAGTACTGCTACAAAACACAACCTGCCTGATTTCAAATATGGAAGGGTAAATTTTGATCTGCTACTTTAACATATAGGCTAACATACCCTGTCCCACTTGTTGCAGACAAACAAGGCACACTCAGGTCGATAATCCTGCTGATCCCTGAAAGCTCTCTTCAAAACGTTACACACCAAATCTTGTACCTACAGCAGAAAACATCACCAAAGAATGATTAACCTTACCTACACAAGTATTATACCCTCTACACAAGTATTACACCCTCTACACAAGTATTATACCCTCTACACAAGTATTATACCCTGTACACAAGTATTATACCCTCTACACAAGTATTATACCCTCTACACAAGTATTATACCCTCTACACAAGTATTACACCCTCTACACAAGTATTATACCCTCTACACAAGTATTATACCCTCTACACAAGTATTATACCCTCTACACAAGTATTACACCCTCTACACAAGTATTACACCCTCTACACAAGTATTACACCCTCTACACAAGTATTACACCCTCTACACAAGTATTACACCCTCTACACAAGTATTATACCCTCTACACAAGTATTATACCCTCTACACAAGTATTACACCCTCTACACAAGTATTATACCCTCTACACAAGTATTACACCCTCTACACAAGTATTATACCCTCTACACAAGTATTATACCCTCTACACAAGTATTATACCCTCTACACAAGTATTATACCCTCTACACAAGTATTACACCCTCTACACAAGTATTACACCCTCTACACAAGTATTACACCCTCTACACAAGTATTACACCCTCTACACAAGTATTACACCCTCTACACAAGTATTATATTATACCCTCTACACAAGTATTACACCCTCTACACAAGTATTATACCCTCTACACAAGTATTACACCCTCTACACAAGTATTACACCCTCTACACAAGTATTACACCCTCTACACAAGTATTACACCCTCTACACAAGTATTACACCCTCTACACAAGTATTACACCCCTACACTACCCTCACAAGTATTACACCCTCTACACAAGTATTACACCCTCTACACAAGTATTACACCCTCTACACAAGTATTACACCCTCTACACAAGTATTACACCCTCTACACAAGTATTACACCCTCTACACAAGTATTACACCCTCTACACAAGTATTATACCCTCTACACAAGTATTACACCCTCTACACAAGTATTATACCCTCTACACAAGTATTATACCCTCTACACAAGTATTATACCCTCTACACAAGTATTACACCCTCTACACAAGTATTATACCCTCTACACAAGTATTATACCCTCTACACAAGTATTAAACCCTCTACACAAGTATTAGACCCTCTACACAAGTATTACACCCTCTACATAGTATTACCCCTCTACATATGTATTACCCCCTCTACATATGTATTACCCCCTCTACATATGTATTACCCCCTCTACATATGTATTACCCCCTCTACATATGTATTACCCCTCTACATATGTATTACCCCTCTACATATGTATTACCCACTCTACATATGTATTACCCCCTCTACATATGTATTACCCCTCTACATATGTATTACCCCCTCTACATATGTATTACCCACTCTACATATGTATTACCCCTCTACATATGTATTACCCCTCTACATATGTATTACCCCTCTACATATGTATTACCCCTCTACATATGTATTACCCCTCTACATATGTATACCCCTCTACATATGTATTACCCCTCTACATATGTATTACCCCTCTACATATGTATTACCCACTCTACATATGTATTACCCCCTCTACATATGTATTACCCCTCTACATATGTATTACCCCTCTATGTATGTACTACCCCTCTACTTATGTACTACATCTCTACATATGTATTACCCCCTGTACATATGTATTACCTCCTGTACATATGTATTACCCACTCTACATATGTATTACCCCTCTACATGTGTATTACCACTCTACATATGTATTACCCACTCTACATATGTATTACCCCCTCTACATATGTATTACCCCTCTACATATGTATTACCCCTCTACATATGTATTACCCCTCTAAACATGTATTACTCCTCTAAACATGTATTACCTACATATATATTACCCCTCTACATATGTATTACCCCTCTACATATATATTACCCCTCTACATTTGTATTACCCCTCTACATATGTATTACCCCTCTACATATACATATGTATTACCCCTCTACATATGTATTACCCCTCTACATATGTATTACCCCTCTACATATGTATTACCCCCTCTACATATATATTACCCCTCTACATATGTATTATCCCCTCTACATATGTATTACCCCTCTACATATGTATTATCCCCACTACATATATATTACCCCTCTACATATGTATTACCCACTCTACATATGTATTACCCCTCTACATATGTATTACCCCTCTACATATGTATTACCCCTCTATATATGTATTACCCCTCTACATATGTATTACCCCTCTACATATGTATTACCCCTCTACATATGTATTACCCCTCTACATATGTATTACCCCCTCTACATATGTATTACCCCTCTACATATGTATTACCCCTCTAAACATGTATTACTCCTCTAAACATGTATTACTCTACATATGTATTACCCCTCTACATATGTATTACCCACTCTACATATGTATTACCCCTCTATATATGTATTACCCCTCTATATATGTATTACCCCTCTACATATGTATTACCCACTCTACATATGTATTACCCACTCTATATATGTATTACCCCTCTACATATGTATTACCCCTCTACTATGTATTACCCCTCTACATATATATTACCCCTCTACATATGTATTACCCCCTCTACATATGTATTACCCCCTCTACATATGTATTACCCCTCTACATATGTATTACCCCCTCTACATATGTATTACCCCTCTACATATGTATTACCCCTCTACATATGTATTACCCCTCTACATATGTATTACCCCTCTACATATGTATTACCCCCCTCTACATATGTATTACCCCCTCTACATATGTATTACCCCCTCTACATATGTATTACCCCTCTCATACATATGTATATACCCCTCTACATATGTATTACCCCTCTACATATGTATTACCCCTCTACATATGTATTACCCCTCTACATATGTATTACCCCTCTATATATGTATTACCCACCTCTACATATGTATTACCCACTCTACATATGTATTACCCCTCTACATATGTATTACCCCCTCTACATATGTATTACCCCTCTACATATGTATTACCCCTCTACATATGTATTACCCCTCTACATATGTATTACCCCTCTATATATGTATTACCCCCTCTACATATGTATTACCCCTCTACATATGTATTACCCCCTCTACATATGTATTACCCCTCTACATATGTATTACCCCTCTACATATGTATTACCCCTCTACATATGTATTACCCCCTGTACATATGTATTACCCCCTCTACATATATATTAACCCTCTACATATGTATTACCCCTCTACATATGTATTACCCCTCTACATATGTATTACCCCTCTACATATGTATTACCCCCTCTACATATGTATTACCCCCTCTACATATGTATTACCCCCTCTATATATGTATTACCCCCTCTATATATGTATTACCCCTCTACACACACACTACTATGTCTCTTTACACATGTACCATTCATTTCTCTATTTCTGTACATATTTTACCCTTTCTTCCTGTACTCCGCCTGCGTTAGCACTGTTGATGATGTAGATGAAGGAGCTAGCCTCGAGGATGTAATCCAGAACCATCTGTGTCATCTGTGGAGTGTCTCCAATGCCTGGACTGTCTACAATCACTAGTCCTGTCTGTATATAGCATGGCAGCACCAATCAACAGTCGCTAATCTTCTTCTTATATTTCATATTAGCTTCAGATAGTGTTGATTCCAAAATCATTTTTAATATTTGAAGAAAAGATTTTGCAAGTCCAATAATTGTTTCCATTTCATGTGAACTTTATGAAATTTTTCAGCAAACTTGATTTGTCTTACTAAAGGCCTGCTTACTTAATACTTATTTCACATAAAACTCTGGTAAAATGTGATAATTATGTGACAGACCTTACCTTTAAGATATCACATGGAAGGTATATTTCAGCTTTTTGGTACTTGGCAGTGTTGTCTGCCTGCGATCCATTTGATTTCTGTATGTGGTCAGCCAGGGACTTAAAAAATAATGATTTCTCCACATTGCTTATCTTCTTCTGTTCATTCTCTGTGTTATACAAAATGGCCCAATAACTGTCACTGTGCTGAATTTCACAAATGACATTGGTGTTACTAAGTAGTTGTGTAGGCAGGGCCTCCTCGCCGAGTAGAAGGTTGATAAAGGAACTCTTCCCTGCACCGGTCTCTCCTTAAAACAAAATCCATGTTAGCAATATAATGTAGTTGATAACATAATTTAGGATCAGGAGTAAGGAATTTCAACTTCAACCTTCTGAGCATTAAATGTCAACTAATATAGAAGACAAAACTAATAGAACACACGAGGAGATATTCTGATCTCTACCTTAACCTGGGATCCTCACATACCTCAACCTGGGATCCTCACATACCTCAACCTGGGATCCTCACATACCTCAACCTGGGATCCTCACATACCTTAACCTGGGATCCTCACATACCTCAACCTGGGATCCTCACATACCTCAACCTGGGATCCTCACATACCTCAACCTGGGATCCTCACATACCTCAACCTGGGATCCTCACATACCTCAACCTGGGATCCTCACATACCTCAACCTGGGATCCTCACATACCTCAACCTGGGATCCTCACATACCTCAACCTGGGATCCTCACATACCTCAACCTGGGATCCTCACATACCTCAACCTGGGATCCTCACATACCTCAACCTGGGATCCTCACATACCTCAACCTGGGATCCTCACATACCTCAACCTGGGATTCTCACATACCTCAACCTGGGATCCTCACATACCTCAACCTGGGATCCTCACATACCTCAACCTGGGATCCTCACATACCTCAACCTGGGATCCTCACATACCTCAACCTGGGATCCTCACATACCTCAACCTGGGATCCTCACATACCTCATCCTGGGATCCTCACATACCTCAACCTGGGATCCTCACATACCTCAACCTGGGATCCTCACATACCTCAACCTGGGATCCTCACATACCTCAACCTGGGATCCTCACATACCTCAACCTGGGATCCTCACATACCTAAACCTGGGATCCTCACATACCTAAACCTGGGATCCTCACATACCTCAACCTGGGATCCTCACATACCTCAACCTGGGATCCTCACATACCTCAACCTGGGATCCTCACATACCTCAACCTGGGATCCTCACATACCTCAACCTGGGATCCTCACATACCTCAACCTGGGATCCCCACATACCTTAACCTGGGATTCCCACATACCTAAACCTGGGACCCCAACATACCTAAACCTGGGATCCTCACATACCTCAACCTTGGATTCCCACATAAAACTAGGATAGGACACCTGAAGATTTGATTCCCACATACCTAAAACTAGGATTGGACACCTGGAGATTTGATTATCACATATTTAAAACTAGGATTGGACGCCTGGAGATTTGAACCCCACATACCTAAAACTAGGATTGGATACCTGGAGATTTGATTAACACATACCTAAACCTAGGATTGGACACCTGGAGATTTGATTACCACATACCTAAAACTAGGATTGGATACCTGGAAATTTGATAACCAAATACCTAAAACTAGGATTGGACACCCGGAGATTGGAACCCCACATACCTAAAACTAGGATTGGACACCTGGAGATTTGAACCCCATCATACCTTAAACTAGGATTGGACACCTGGAAATTTGATAACCAAATACCTAAAACTAGGATTGGACACCTGGAGATTTAACCCCATCATACCTTAAACTAGGATTGGACACCTGGAAATTTGATTAACACATATTTAAAACTAGGATTTGACACCTGGAAATTTGATAACCAAATACCTAAAAGTAGGATTGGACACCTGGAGATTGGAACCCCACATACCTAAAACTAGGATTGGACACCTGGAGATTTGATTTCCACATACCTAAAACTAGGATTCTCACATACCTAAACCTTGGACCCCAACATACCTAAACCTGGGATTCTCACATACCTCAACCTGGGATGCCCACATATCTAAACCTGGGATCCTCGCATACTTTAACCTGGGATCCTCACATACCTTAACCTGGGATCCCCACATACCTTAACCAGGGATCCTCAAATTTTTAAACCTGGGATGCCCACATATCTAAACCTGGGATCCTCACATACCTAAACCTGGGATCCTCACATACCTCAACCTGGGATCCTCACATACCTCAACCTGGGATTCCCACATATCTAAACCTGGGATCCCCACATACCTAAACCTGGGATCTTCACATACCTGAAACTAGGATTCTCACATACCTAAACCTGGGATCCTCACATACCTTAACCTGGGATTCCCACATAAAACTAGGATAGGACACCTGGAGATTTGAACCCCATCATACCTAAAACTAGGATTGGACACCTGGAAATTTGAACCCCACATACCTAAAACTAGGATTGGACACCTGGAGATTTGATTCCCACATACCTAAAACTAGGATTGGACACCTGGAGATTTGATTCCCACATACCTAAAACTAGGATTGGACACCTGGAGATTTGATTCCCACATACCTAAAACTAGGATTGGACACCTGGATGTCTTTTGTGATAATCGGCCCTTCTCCTTTTTGAGTGAATCAGTGAAGTTCATGTAGTGTCTATGTAGCAGATCTGTTAGGGGATTGTTTTCATTTTCCAGCTCCACATTTTGTAACAACTCGATCAAGTCTCCGTACACACTATGTAGTTCCTTTCTTAGTTCATGATCCTCTGCTGCTACTGAATCCAGGGATGTTATAACCTGTAATAGAAGTGTTAATGGTTACATTCGTTCTCATGGGCGAGACAGTCCAATATTCTGCTCACTTGTCAGACTAGGCCTATTTTTGACTTATCCGTAAGGCCACAATCCACATATTTATGTAGGGTTCATATTGGTCTGCTTGATCAGCTGCTCCATACCTAGTTTGAATTTTGAACAGGATCATTTCAAATTGAAGACCCTCCCTATCCAGTCTGATAATCTAGTTTAAGTTAGGTATAAAGAGTTATGATGAATACATTTGTTTGTTGTTTATTTCTGTTATGTTAAATATAGAATGAGCATTTTTCTAATGTTCACTAAAGTATAATTAAACTGCTATATTTTCATGACATGTATGACAAACACTTTGTAGTGTTTGTGTGTAAATGTGTTAAAATAATTTATGCTTCAGTGAAATACCCTACTTGTGTGGAAATAGAGCCTGTCCACCCTTATCAAACTAGAAGTAAGCAGTGATTAATCACAGATTTTCAGAAACTTAGATTCTATAGCTGGGTTAGGGTTGAAAAAGGCTTTTATGTAAATACTATTTCATGTTGATCTATGATGAAACAACTAAAAATTGATCTCTGTTTCTGTGATACATAAAGACAGGGGAAAAAATATATTACATGTCACTGATAAAGGTAAAGAAACTTAATATTTCTGCCAAAAATCTGTAAATAATATACTCCAACAATTTTGCGGTTTACACAGCAAGAAACTAAGGACAGTCACCACCACAGTCAGCACAATCACATCATATTATGGTAAATCGGGAAGTCTCTTATGTTAAACAGTACAAATAATCCAGATCCCTGATCAATTTTATATATCATATTTGATGAAATTTCTGATAATTTTACTACCAATATCCTATACAGAGTAGGACTGAAGTATACCCTAAACCACTTCTGACTTAATGAAATATTTTTTCTGCAATCACAAATATATGCTCAGTGGATATCGCACACACAGTACTGAGACTTACTGCATAGTTGAATACAATCTTTCAAACATCACCTGAAGATGGTTATTTGCTATTGTTAAAGAGCTTTTTCTATCCGACCAGTTGAAGGGATTATCAGGACATTCCAAATTGTTCTTATTAATTATAGTTTTTTACTGTCTAAAGGTTCTATGTATGTGATATAACTTGTGTAATATGTTGTGTCTTGTTAAAAGGGGCTGATTGCCTTGGAACATTGCCAATTTACTTATCTGTACTGTCTTTATTACTTTATTGATCATATATATAAAAATAAGTTTATTTCTGGTGCAGGACTTGTTAACGTCCTCTACACCATACTGCAAAAAAGTATAAACTTGTCAAAACCTATATTAAACTCAATGTAAGAATTTAAATTTCAGTCCAATACATTAAAGTTTATATTTCAACTTTATATTCATAGAAGAGTTCTTGTTTTTCCCAGTGAGTGCTTAAAGCTTTTTTTGAATACATTTACAATCTTGAACATCGTAACACAAATGACGAATGTAGAGAATTTTTTACAAATGCCTGTCCGGGCGTTTAATTCTACGCCCTTAACTATAACACCGCCACGCGACAGTTGGAAGTTGTAGTGATAGAGGGCTCGAAATTGTCATATGAGAATAGTGACAAATTGTCTAATTACGTAAAATTGAAATAAAATCAAACATGTTTTCTAGTTTTACTAAATGGTTTCATTGTTTCCCTTCGCTCTTCTTCCTCCTTTCATTTTTAAAATGAAAGTAGAACGACAAGCTTACCGCGTCTCGTTTTCGTTTGTCTTCCACTAATTGTGATTTCAATTTGCAAATTATTTCCTTAAGTTTTTTCAATCCATCCGTTGATATCTGATTTTTCTTTGCTACTTCAATAGCTTCGCGTAATGAAAAGTCGTCGATCTCAGCCTCCGTGTACGATGTTCTCGCCATCGCCCCCTGACGGAGAGTCTTTATTTATGAACCAAAGCCTTTTTTTTCTATTTTATGTAAATAGCTAAATATGTTCATACAATAGATGTATCTAAAAGTATAATGATTGTAATGTTGAAATAAATTCCCAGGAGTAGTGTTCTACTGGAATATATGGATATCAATATTATGTCTCGCCGAAATCGAATTGGCTATTCTAATCGTTTTCGCCAAATAAAAGAATACAAAAGTAGAGTATAGGAAATGTTTTCTTTCGAGTCCGCTTATTTGTCTTTGATTAAGTGATTTTTCAGACTCTTCAAAAAAGCAGCTTGTTTTTCTCATATTATTTGAGATTGTTTGAAAAACAAATTACCACAAAAAAGGGACGTGTTTCCGGTCACTTTGATAAGTTTATTAGTTTTTCACCCCCCCCCCCCCTCCATAGCAATCGTAGTCATTCAGACGCTTTAGTCATCTTTTGACTGCAGTTATATCCACTGCTACTGAGAGGGACATACACAAAACGGTATATACTGCGTTTTATTACAGATCATTCTTAGATATTACAATAACTAATTCAGATATGTACAGTAAATCACAGGTACGTGTGGACTCAAATTCAACAGCACATAGAAATAACATACCTCACAATAGCTCTAGTTTTGATAAGGTTTGTTAATTTTTAATGCTATTGAAATTGAGTCTGCAAGTACCTGTGCAGTAAATGCACACATGATGTAAAGCAGGATTATGTGTAGAGATAATTCTTTCTGGGATTCCTCCTTTGGACTTTTTTATATCGGACATTTGATAATGTCTCTCGTCAAGAGTTCAGAGTGCAGGTTGCCTTATTAGCCTGCTGGCATTGGTTAGTGGGAATTTCCCTTTAGTCGAGCGGCAGAGTTTTCGGCTAGAGACCAAAAGGGTGCTAGTTCGAAACACAACAAGGTGGAGGATGTTTTTCATTGCTTCTTTCTGTTAAAGATTAGATGGCATTGACCACTTCAAGGATAGAAGCTATAGGAGATTGAGATGTTTCCTTACAGACACTAAATCTGCATGGGTCGTTGTTGTCTTTGGGGGTCAAATACTTTGTGAAGGAGGGCGTAGTATTGAAGTTTCCAGAGCATAACTTTGCTCACAGTTAAGCAAGGATCATGAAAATTGGTGTATACATTGATCATACTAAGATGATGTGCATTGTATGAAATTCAGGGCCTGCAACTCCTTAATTACACAACTGTTCCCCTTTGCTAAAATTTCATGTCTAGAAAACAACTTTAAATTGCTTGCATTTAAACAAGGATACTCAAATTTTGTGTATACATTGATCATACTAGGACGATGTGCACTGAACCCAATTCAGGGCCCTTGACCCCTCAACTACAGAGTTATTGCCCATTGTTGATTATTTATCTGGTGTACACATCAGTTTCATTGATACTCTTGTTTTGTTCTGTTCTTAATCACTATAGTAAAGTAAAGACAGAAGAAAATAATGGGCACGGGGTAAACATGTGAGAAAAGAGAATGTCAATCCAATTCACCCTTTGTCTGGTACTCATCTGTTTATCTTTAAACAACACTTGTCATCGCTATTTCTTGAGAAATTATGACTGGATCATTTTCAAATTTCATATACCACTATATATTCCCCTTGGTCCTTAGTTGTGCATTGTCCCAATTTGGGACTACCAGGTAATCTTAAAAACAAGATGGCTGGAAGGTGGCCATCTTGGATTTAAACAGCGTAGTTTGTTATCACAATGTCTTGAGAAGTATAGGGTTGACCTTTTTCAGATAACAAATAAAAAGGATAAGATAAAATATGATCTTTATCAACAGAAGGAAGAGGTCCTGAATGATTATGCTAGAATTTACTTAGAAACTACTCTTGCAGTCAAATTCAGTCTGAATCATGACTTGCATATACAGCATTCATTCCTTAATTTCAGAAAGTTCATTAGTTCACCATCATCAGATGGCTATTCAAGTATCCATGGTCCGTTGTTCCGTCTGTAAACAATTTTTGTTATCGCTATTTCTTGAGAAATTCTAGACTGATTTCTCTTTAATCTCACATGTAGGTTTCCCTTGGTCCTTAGTTGTGCCTGTTTGATTTTGGTACTGATCAGTAAAAGATGATGGCCTATGGGCAGCCGTCTTGGATTTTGACTTCGAAAGATTGTTATGACTACTCCTTAAAAAATGCTGCACAGTGTTTCTCAAGTTTCATGTATAGGTTCATCTTTGTCCCTAGTTGTGCTTGTGATCAGATAAAACAAAATGGCCGACGGGCAGTCATCTTGGATTTCATCTAGTAAAGATTGTTATCCCTGTTGCTTAAGAAGTACTGAGTTGATCTCTCTCGAATTTAAAACATATGATCCCTTTGGTCTTTACTTGTACCTGTTTGATTCTGGGACTGATAAGAAAAATTAGAATGGCTTCCAGACGTCAATCTTGGATTTGGTCGGTAAAGATTGTCATTGCTATTTCTGCAAAGGAATGTTCAAATTTCTTATCATCAAGAGCAAAAATAGAGAAGAGAAGAAAAAAAGGTCCTGATATGTGAAAGTTTGCTGGAATTTACTTTGAAATCTATTCTTCCCTGATGCTTGATTGGATTTCAGTCAAATATGGTCTGAATCATCAATTTCCTAAAGTCATAAAGTTGATTTGACCCAAGGGACTAAATGAGAATTTTAGCTGAAATTTGGCTTTTCATTGTTGGTACTTCTAAATGCTCAACTGGGTCTCAATTGAATTTGGGAGGGCAATAATTCCTGAAATGAATTGTCAGATGACTAACTTTTGAGGACCATGGGCCATGTGTTTTTCTTTCTACAGAATGAGATGTTTTTATTTCTCCATGGTTTTTGAGGCTTAGATGCCATAAGACAAATTATGATATATAGCTGACAAAACTTTATTGCACTGAAATGGTGAAATCATAATGTGTTACACAACGGTCACTACAAATAATTCTTTATTTTCAGAGAGTAACATGTTTAGTATAAGCATACTGATCTCCACACAGCCAATCCAAATAATCAATCACAACCAAATAATAACAGTCAGATACTTATATATATCTATATACTATCTACCCCTTTGATATACATACGTAATGTAAGATAAATGGTTACCCTTAAATCAAGTCAATCAAAGTCAACAACAATACACATAATAATGAAATAAAGATTGAAATACAAGTAACTTAGAACTTAATTCAGTTGTAACAATTAAGAACACATAAATTAAATATAAAATTTTGAAACTATATAAGTATATACATACATATGTTAAGTACATCTATATTTATTACATGTCCTGTTTTAGAAATATTAACAGACTTCGCGATAAATTTTGAATATTGACTACAAGGAGAATTTTCTATTTGAAAAAAAAGATATGTTTTTAATTCTTTCTTAAACAACAAAAGTTTGTTGGAACATTTCAGTTTAATTGGAAAATTTGTCAACAGTATTACTCCAGAGTAAATAAAGGACTTTATTTTAGCCATTTGATCAATGGTCTAGATTATTATTTGATATATATATGTTTTTAAGCAAAATGTTGTAAAAACCTGTTGGTACATATATTGTGTACAGATACAGATTTTTTTGTTATCGTTACTCAATTTGGTTTCAGATTGAAGATGGATCCAGCACTATTGAAAGAAAGGAAGGCGTTCTTAGAAAGAGCAAAAGCACAGCCAACTGTTGAAAAACGAAAGAAACCAAAACATGAAAATGATGACAGATCTGCCAAGAAATCTAAATCTTCTAATTTTTCTCGACCAAAGCCTACAGAAAGTATTAGTGCTCCAAAAACTAGCAGCTTTGACTACAAAAAAATGCAAGGAAGTTCACAGTACAAGTTTGGTATTCTAGCAAAAATAGTGAAATATATGCGAGACAGACATCAGAATGGTGAACGACATGCTCTCACTATAGATGAAGTTCTTGATGAAACAAATCAGCTGGATGTTGGAACGAAAATGAGGCATTGGCTTATAACAGAAGCTTTACTTAGTAACCCAAAAGTAAAGGTGGTGGATGGGGGACAGAAATATGTGTTTAGACCTACATATGAGATAAAAGATAGGAAAGGTTTCCTGAACCTACTCAAACGACATGATTTACACGGAATGGGGGGAATCCTTAAGGAAGATATAGATGAGTCCTTTGGTACAACAAACACGGAGAAGGCTTTGAAAGCACTAGGTGAAAATGTAGTTATAGTAACACGACCAACAGATAAAAAACAGGTGCTGTTTTACAATGATAAGTACTGTCGTTATACAGTGGATGAAGACTTTCGGAAATTGTGGAGAGGTGTTTCTGTAGATGGTTTGGATGAGAAAAAGATTGAGGAGTATCTAGATAAACAAGGTATTACTTCAATGCAGGACACAGGCTTAAGAAAAGCTGCTCCTATACAAAAGAGGAAGAAAGGAGGAGGCAGAAAAACATTTAAGAAGTTGAATGAGCATTTGGAAGGTGTTCTCGAGGATTACTCAGAGAAACCCTAAACTATCATAATAATGTGACCCATTTTAGAAGTGCAAGGGTTCCAGTATCTCACTAAAATTTTAAAATAAAGGCCCATTCTAAGCAGTTTGATTGGCACAAGATGTTAAGCCTAACCAATCGCTAGGCTATCTCTTTTTTTCAAATTACAAATATGGTTACACCAAAGTCAAATTAGGTCAACTTTACCTTACTTCTGCACATTTCTGTTTGTCAGAGGCCTTGGGTAGATATAATTTCATAATACTGCAAGTTGACAAGTTAAGTTTTTAATTTCGTCACGGTATGTATATATACAAGTATTGACTACAGAACCCTTGCACTCTGAAGATGTTCACCCAAACACTGTGATGATAATTGTCATCAGTTTAATAAATTGATTAAAAAAGCTCAATATTTTCGTTATCTATTGTGGAAATGTGTAATCAAAAGATCAACTTCCTAACCCTTATCACAGGGTGATAATCCCAACCAACAGACTTCCTTTTAAATGAACATCCGTGTATCAGTTGTCTATCCATAACCCAAATGATCATTCCATCCTGTCTGATTGTGTAGGGTACCCCCTGATTATCTAACTTCCTCTCAGTAAAACTGCATGCATGCTACCATCATGTCTGACCACAGTGGTCTAATTTCCTCCCACAATAAGACTCCATATGTACTCTCTTCCTGATTAAGTTTATATAACTAGTTTCACAAATATTGTGAAATAAAGAATTTTAAAAGATCTTTTTCAAATTTAGCCAATCATTTTCCTACTTTTGTAGTTCATGCATTGTGTCTGCCATTGTGAAGAGCAATATGAATTCAGATGAAGATCAAAATCCTTCCTGGTTTTTTCGTAGAAATAACCAATGATGAACAGCTCTGATTTCTACTCAAGCAGCATGACAATGGGAAGAACATAGTTTCAAGGCAGCCATCATGAATTACCATATCATATTTTTACTATATCTATGCAAGGACCTTTTATCTTCTAACTTTTTAATTATGATTTTGCCATTTGACCTGTTAACAATTCTTGTTATCACTTTTTTTCGCCACAAGAAGAATCTTATTGAGACATTTTATATTTGATGGAATATTCATGATCGCCTTGGAATGAGTAACTGCTTTCTGTTCAGAACTGGTAAGTAGATGTTGAAACTTTAGGGATGCATTCAAAATATAATTTAGGGCGAGTTGAAGCTGTGCATGCCACTTTCTAAGCTTGATTGCCTATTCCGATTGATGCCAGTGGCAGCAGACTTTGCCTTTTGACGATTACTTCTAATATTGTCAAGAACCACTGTTAGCATCTCTAAACTCTAGATTTGTTCAGCATCACCTCTAGTTGTACATTCCATGTTTTTCAGCTTGATTGGATATTCAAGATGGTTTCTAATAGTCATCACATATTTTGGTATTATAATTTTGTTTCTGCTTTTTCTGAATGACAAAAGGAATAACCTAGAAACTTTCGGGGCAAATTTGCTGCAATTCCTAGTTTACATATTCAGTCTGTTAGTTGCAATTTTTCAAACTTTGACTTTTGAAGGTTTTGTTAGCGCATGTGCATGAAAAAAAAGAGTGTATGCAATGGTGTGATGTCCATATGTCACCTCTTCCCTTTGCTTGACATCTTCCCAATAAAAAAAAAATTGTTGAAATAAATGACCTTGACCCACTTTCAACTGGGGTCACCTTACCATGGCCATAGTGAAATAAAAAAGATAATTATTAAGAAACCTACATGGGAAATATGAGAATTATCCATCTAATACTTCTAAAGATAACAATCTGTAACATTCAGATTCCAATAAAAGGACAATGCACAAACAGGGACCAAAGTTAATCAACATTGATACATAGAACTTCTGAAGATATAACAAACTATCAAAATCCTAGATGGTCTGTTAGTTCGAGATGTCAAAATTGAAAAAGAAATAACACAAGAAATAAAATGCTTACACTATGTGGAATCTCAATTCAAACATCAAAATCCTTAAAATTGTGGTGTTACATGGATACCTTTGGAATGTTCAGAGAGAAAAAGACCAGGTATTTCAGAAGGGAATTCTGTTTCATCAATGACCTCAACCATGAAAATCACAGTTAAATATAAAATCATTGTAATCCTGGGTTTAATTTATCGTTAAATATACGATGAAGGCTGTCCTGTGTGTCTTGTATCAATGATAGCTATAACACCATCGTATTCTTGATGGAAATGTATCAATAGAAACAAGGAAATACCAACATGTCAACATAATCATAATCCAAACTCAGATTCAGGCAAATTAGGACAGAACATGAACAAAAGAAATATCTACACAGACTCCTGAGAAAGTACAAGGAGAATAAGACAAGGGCCCGTATTCATGAAACAGTTCTCATGCTCAAACATGAATCTTGTGCTCTAGCTTTATACCTTGTTTAAGTTCAAAATTAGTAAATAATTCTGATTTTGCCAAAGAGGTAAAAAAAATTGAAAGGACTTCAAGTCAAAGTTATATTCAATGTTTATATTTGACATTTGTATTATTTCATATGATTTAGGCGAATTATTAAAAAAGTTTGCTTGAGCACAAAATCTGTGCTTGAGCATGAGAACGGTTTCATGAATACGGGTCCAGGTGTTCTGGAAGAGTAAGTTTCTTCTGCTTCATTAACGACATCCTCCCTGTAAACTTTGCTCAATCCAATTCAGTAATGGTGTGTTCCCAAATGAGAACAAAATTAACAGCAAGAAACAACAAAGAAGTTTCATTTCGCACAAGGAAAAAGAATATTCCCAACAATTGTGATAACAACCAGAAATTTTCTCATGGTATTCATCAATGTACATGTCTCTGAAACCCTGTGTTGTGAGTTTATATGTCAGCTGTGTGCAACTTGCACAAATATCACAATATTGGAAACAAGTCGTAAACTGCAACATGTAAACACCAGAGGTTGTGGAAGCAGGCAAGTTGCTACACACAAATGGAAATTTCACAATAAAGGATATAGAATCATCATAAACAATATCGCAATAAAACTGTAATCCTGTAAAAATGGAGTCTTGCGGTGATTTAGGAATCCAATATAAACAAAGTACGTCCTTACTATTTCATTTTATTAGGCAAAATCTGAAATATTATATAACTGAAGCATGTCAGGCTTTTTACAATCCTTCTATGGTATCAGCTGTTGCTGAGTAAGTCTTTTAACTAATAATTACGTGTTACTGACGGTATAGCCAGGAGATATCCTCAGTAGTAATGGTCATGCTGCAGTTCCAGGATTTCCGGTTAGGGAACACACATTCTACCATTACATCTCATTTCTGTGAGGACATTGCATTAATGTTCTCGCACCCACAGAGATAAGAGATATGTCCCCAGAAAGATTGTTTATCAAGTATTCAGGAGAGATTAAGTTGGGAAGTGATTACACTTACTACTACCATATTGTTGGTGTTGCTATTGGAAACGGGTGTCCCCAGAATGTCTTTGTCAAAACACAGAGAGAGAGAGAACTTTTGTAATTGTGTGGGACGAAAAACATGTGCTAAGAAATACGACAATCAGGTGGTCAGTATATTAAAGGCGGTTTCAGATATACATTAATGAATAATTAATAATTCTGCTAAAATCGCAAAATATCAAATATCTCCATATTATCAAACCTTGTAACCCTACTCTTACACAAGAATCCCGCCCCTCAAAAAAATTATAGAGGTACGTTAAATGTTAAAGACAGATAACCTGTATCACAGTTTAAGATGACATCTTCAGTGCATGTTTCAAATTTTCCATGAAACATGTATAATCATTACAAAAGCTCATCTTGGAATTACACAATGATTTCTGGCCAGTTACATATAATTGAATGAAAAAATAAACAAATTCACTGTAACATTTTACTGCGTTGCAATAATAAAGCCTTTAATAAAAAGTGAAAAGGTCATACGTAAATCTGAATTTCTTGATGTTCCAATCACCAGATCATTTAAAAACTTATCATATCTAGTCCATGTTGATTCCTTAAATATTCGAAGTAATTTTTGATCAAGTGTAAATTAGAAATATCGGGGAAATCCAATTTGCATATTTAAATAACTCATTTAAATGTGTTGTCAAGTTTGGACATAGTGACGTTTAAAAGCCCCCTTTTTAAAGCAAACACTCCCCCACCGTCCTCCCTTAAGTGTTTTTTCTTATATTGGTGTCATGGCGTCGTCTATGTGGCGGTTGAGTCATTTGCATACATGGTGCTGTTTCACTTAAAATTCAACGCAACGAATAAAACTAACCTGTCAAGAGGTAGTTTTGTTTAAAATTACCAGATACGAAGCAATATTTTCGCTAAAAAGTTGCAATATGGTGTGATTTTGAAGCTATTGGGTTCAGGTGTAGCGGATCTGTTTCACATACGTTCAATATACGTTACCTAGCCTTTGATACGTAATGATACCATGTAAACAAAATTAATAGAAATTTGTTGAAAGGAGGTGAAGAGCGAGATTTAATACCACAATTTATGAAAAGCAATGCCCGACATTACTTCACTATCGGATTTCATTGATAATTTCAAATTAGTGTATTTTGAAATGAATAGATTTGAAACACCGCGATTAAAATTTGTCCTGTTGTGTATAAAGAAAACAAAAGCATGTTTGGAACGCGTCTTCAAAAAGAAGCCAAATGTGATTTTCCTGGCTAGCCTGGGTTGTCGCATGAACAAAGCTCCCCAAAGAAAGTGCTTATCAATTGGAGTGATTTTTTTCATGAGAAACGACTTAATCATTTAAATAGGGGTATGTAAATATTGTGATTGGTGAACCAATCCTTGTTTAGTGTCTGTAAGTTACACACCAGTGGGTTCCCCCCATACATATATATGGTGAAAGTTTGAATTTAATCTGAGAAGTCTAATACATGATCTATATTATGCATTCCTGATTAAATAGCTGTTTTAGTAAAATCAATAATGGCAGAATAGCCATCAAGGACAAATACCTCAATTGTAATCAAATCTATAATTCACAGCATGAAAATGTCTGCGAGTACAGGTCCTCTTACTAGCTACTGGAGATTTAAAAGTGGTGAAGTGTCTGGCTATAAGAGACTGCTATAACTAATTCGAACATGTAGGATGTTGATCATTAGGCCTATATTTCTGTATTCCTATAACATATGTTTGAACAATATGATTCCAGCAGCCTTCACAATGAAGCAGAAGTCATAATATGGCCAACATCGGATTGACCTGTCAAAATCCATAAACTTCACAGTCTTGGCAACACCGTCAATAATTCATGGCAGCTAATATCTATTGTAATTAACGTTTCACTAAAGTCTTGGTACAAATGGTAACTTGGCATAACGAGACGTACCACAGGACGCCCTGTGTGTGGAATCAT